TGGAGGAAGGTCAAAACGCCACCATGGTCCTACATCTAGATACTGCAAGCCAATGTGTGAGAGAAAATTGGACCTCTCCTCGAGGTTGTGACGTTGCCTCGCCTTTGAAAGCCGCCCCAACCCCTCTCACCTCCCCCCCTTCTCTCCCCCTTCTCTCCTTTCGTACATGAGCAAACGCATGAAAAAGAACCTCCCCCCTTGCCCGCTCTCCCCAGTAAATGAGCAAGACCGGGATTCGGTCCCTGGTTCTTGCGGAGTTGGTCACCGGTTAAGTCGTTGACCGAGATCGGGAGAAGATCAAGTCTCAAGTAGGGCTCAAACAATAGGGATGGAGAATGCAAGTTTGCCTGGAGATCACACGGAAGGGTCCAACCCCGCTTCAGGCTGGTACATCGTGCAGCAGAACATCCGCTTCAGCCTCCGCAGCACGCCGCACCACGTCTTCGACCTCAAGGGCGTGGGCATCGGCCGCCGGGTGCCCACCGCGGTGGAGGAGGAGGAGCGGGGGTCTCCGATTTTTGATTCGGACCAAATGCGTCTAAATATGGGGGGAGGCCCTGCAAATGGCTTCGTTGCGTTTTCTTGTTTTTTTCTCTTTTGTTTTCAACTACAAATGGCTTTGTGTTTTTTGTTGTTGTTGGACCTACAAATGGCTTCGTTTTTTTTTTTGGCTGTTGGACCTACAAATGGCTACTTTTTTTCGGTTGGACCTACAAATGGCTTCGTTTTTGGATCTACAAATGGCTTCGTGTTTTTTGTTTTTTTCAGTTGAACCTACAAATGTCTTTGTTTTTTTCTTCTTCTTGTTTTGTCGAACTACAAATGGCATCGGTTTTTGTTCTGTTGGTTTCACTTTAAACCAACCCAGAGCCCCAAGAAAGGGTGCCGAGCCCTCAAAAAGCACAGACCGATCTATGGGGCGAAGTAAGTACCTGAAGGCTCCCTTGGCGGTCCTTTGTTGGCCGTGTTTTGGCTTTGTTTCTCTCCGGGAAACTGACTTGACCATGACTTATGATTGATTGATAGAACCCGCGAACCTAGTCTAGTTAGTTGTGTACCCTGGCGCCCTCACAATACGGAAATGCCCAGACTCACTTCCCAAAGGGCGCTTCCACGTTTGGGAAATCCTTCGTGTTGCTTCGACTCAACTTGGGTGGTGAGTTGCCGAGCTTTGATCTGTTTGGTTCTAGATGTCTTCATGTCAGCAGATGACCCAACAGTTTGAGATCTTGTTTTGGCCAGCAAACTCAAAATTCCAGATGCTTCATGTACCTTACAGCATGCTCGTTTGTATACCTGCTTGGGCCCTGGAGTGGAAAGTCCGTTCTCTCTCTTTGGTAAGTCTGCACAAATTCCAGTGAGCGCCTCGGGGTAAAACCAGCTCACCCAAAATGAATTGCAGTGAATTATGCGGGTTGATTTTTGGTGAGCCTTGTTCTTTATCAGAAAGAGGGGGAAGAAGGCAATCCGTGGAACATCAAGACATCACTTCCGAACACCTGCGCTGGTGTGTTTAGTTGCTCCGGCACACTTTCTGGTGCAAGTACGCCCATCTACAGTGACAACATCCAAGTGATACTTCACAAGGGTATGTGGCCAAGAACACCCGAAGTGTGCACTTTTCAAGTGGCCCATGCAATGTCTCAAGTCCCCTAAATGATAAAGTCATTGACCCGCTCTTTGTCGAACTTGGCATAATCCATGAGGACCATACCTTGCAGGCATTCCCCTAATGTGGCTGTGGCTCAAAACCAATGGGGTAGGCGCAGTACTGGTGCACCACCCATTTTAGTCGATTTTAGCGGGGGAAAACCGGGATTTTGGCCCATGGCCGCGTGGTTTGGCGTCACAGGACGCCAGCCCCGCCGCCAGCGCGGCCGCCTCTACTTCGGTGGCCGCTTCCGCGGCCGTGGCTTCGGCCGGGGAGGGGCCAGCCACGGCGGCCGCGGCGGCGGCCGCGGGGTACCCGGGCCCGCTGGATGGGCCCAGCCCGACGAGGGCGGGCCCGGACCCGGTCTTCTGGGATCAGAACTTCCGGGAATGGACCAAGGCGCGGGCGATCCAACGTCTTGCTTGTGCTTGTGAATCTTGTGACCTTTTGGGGAGGCTTTCTTGTTCAAGCCTGGCCCCCTGCATCTAAAGGGAATGTGAGGGAATGAACCTGGCAATTCTTACACAAAAGTGAGAATGGTCGGTAAAGGGTCCTTCGCAGATTCCCGATCCACTCGGGACAAGCAAGGGTTGACAAGAACCAGAGCAAGCACGGTTTGGGGTGCATTCTAAATCAGAAAAGAATCGACCGCCTTTGTAGGCCCTGGTATGGTTTATGATTCTGGTACATGTTGGTTTCCTACAGGAATTATGGGAATGGTTTTGCCTCTGTGCTTTTCTCCTGGCTATCAACCCCGTGTTTCAAAGTGTAGCCACCATTCTTATGGGCATTGGGGTTGCTATACAGCGCTTGCTCTGTGCTTCATGTTTCTTCCCCACTTGCCGCTTGGAAGTTTGTTGGGCCCATGATCATGTTTTGGAGGCCACAAGCAGCATGCGTGCGAAAAACAAACACGTGGTTTCTTGGGGGTTAGCAGGGATGGTCCGGTCATGAACCCTTCTGTAGGGACTTTGCACGAGCAACGTCACAAGGAAATTTAGCAGCTGGAGCGAGAATCCGTTCTCCCGTGAACGATGAAGGTGGCGGCATTTATCTTCGGAAAGAGGGAACTGTAACTGGCTTCAAAGTGTGTCACAGGTTGAAATGGGGTAACCTGCTGCATGTTTCAAATGGGCTAGCCTTAGAGCCAGAAAGTCGGACCTAGCTGATATGGACCTAATATTGAGCTGAATACATGGCTTCCCAAGTCATCAACCCAATCATTGGGGATAGTATGAGGTGGGTGCGACTTTCTGGGTCCGAACTCGTTCGGTTTTCTTGGGGATGTTGCTTCCTTTTGCGGGGGCTCTTCAGTTTTTTTCTGAGGGGAAGCCGCTTTGCCTGGTGCCCTCGGACCAGTGGTACCTGGAGGCGGCGATGTTCAACGACACGCGGTTCCTGTCGGCTCTGAACCTCATGGACTACTCGCTGCTGCTGGCGGCGGTGAAGGAGCCGGACCAGGATCAGAAGGGTCGGCTCTGCCTGGGCATCATCGACTACTTGCGGCCCTACACCCTGGATAAGCTCTTCGAGGGTGAGGTGGGGGACTGATCAGTGGCTGATAAGGGGCCCAAGCCAAGAGAATTTGGCCGTTGCGAGTGGTCCTGATTGTGTCGGTTTGTTTGGGGGAAGCTCTCCGGATGTCCTGCCGAAGGTTGCTTGATGTAGCCTCATAACATCTTGATTGCTCCTTGGTTGAACATTTTGAACCTTTGAATCAACTTGTTCAAGATGGATTACCAGTTCTCCGCGAACTGGCAAGTTGAGCTCTCCGGGGTGTGTCTTTGACCCCCACAACAACTTCCCAATGTCAGCTTTACCCCAAGCCCCAAGACCCTTACAAGTGAGTCTACCCGGACTCCAGTTGGTTTTGCTCCTACAATGTTTGGGGAGTTTGTGGGTAGGTGAAGAAGAGGTTCCGCAAGGACGCGACAGTCTGTGAGCCTTCCCAGTACGCTGCCAGATTCACCCGGGCCATGAGCAGTAGCTTCGTCGCCCAGAGTCCCGAAAACGAGGACCCCTAGCGCCGTGGAGCCGAGAAACTTCTCGCGACTTCTCGCGTGCGCGAAGGCAGGCGAAGGCATGCGGGGCAATCTGCAGTGCCCGGCACCTCCAACTTGGGACTCAACAGGCGTTTGTTGGGTTTCGTGAATGCAGGCGCAGGCTTGTGCAGGAGCCTTTGGAGGTCAGGGAATGCCTGCGCATGCGTGACCCTTTTGTACATAGCTTCAGCGGTCCTAAAGTTTGGGCCCCTCGGCACGTTGATCCCTTTGGGCTGCTGCGTAGCTGCCCAAAAGAGTGCCACCGTTGGCAAGCCGCGCTGAGGCAGAGGGAATGTTTGGGTTTAAATATGTTTGATGAGCTGCTGCTGTGTTATAAAGAGTTTTAGGGTTCAAAAAGGATGCGTTTTGCGATTTGGATGGTTGCTAGGGACAGCAAGCAGGCATGCTGCTCAGAAAGCATCAAACACCCAGGAGTGTGCGAATATTGGGACATATTGGGACAATCTGGTTTTGGGGGATTGAAGACAACATAGAGACGCAAAAACTATGGGAAGCTCACGTTAACAGCCCGGTATCTTTGAGGAACAGAGTTGTGTCACGATCCTGAAGTTGCCACCTGACCCTGATATTTGAATCTTGAGGTTTGTCGAGATATCAGGCTTGCCGAGATATCGGCAGCCGGGTTTTTTTCATTCCTGGTTCAAGGTCGCAGTTCTTGGGTTGTTGCTCAATTCGCAACTGAAACAGCCGCTGGATACTTTGGGACCGAACACTTGTCATCCATCCAACGTGTGATGTACTTCCTCTAGCGAAGCCCCACCCAGTGGCTCCCCTTTACCTTGTTCTTGGAGGGGGGTTCCCTTCAACATCTTCTGCCCAAAAAGCGTACCCGCCTTTTTGCCATAGCCACTGGGCGGAAACGCTTTCCCGAACAGAAAGCAAAAAGGCCGATATACAGCAGAGAGATGCACATTTTCCAACATTCTCAGGTCAGGAGACAGGAAAACCTGGAAATTGGGGGGTATGTTGCTGTAGGAAAGACTTGGAATGAGGCTTTGTGTTATGTTTTTTGACAATTGGGAGGCGCAGCTTTGCGTTGTTTGAGCTCGGCTTCCACCTTGGACCTTGGTTTTCTATGATTCAGACCAGAAACGCGACCCTTGTTTTAAAAGCTTGCGAGAAATTGACACAGGCACATTTCGGCTTTTGAACAAGGAGCTCCTTTTTTCAAGGGCGATTGGGTGGACCAGTCCAAAAGCATCCGCCCACCACGTGATACGGTGTTTTCTGGCTTTGCCTGCTGCTAAGCATTCGAACAATGGAGGTTTCTGGAGCACGCGCTTCAGGCCGACAAAAGGGAAGGAAGTCCAGGCAGGGCTTTCGGGAGGGGGAGACAAACAAAAAACCAAGCAACGAAAGGGCGTAGCTATGCGTAGCTCATGGTGGAAGATTTGGTAGCGACTCCTCTCAAAGGTGGGGGTCTTCCGTTTTTCGACTTGTAAGAGATGCTGATGTTTAGGGGGGCCTTGCCACCAAGTGGGTTCACCAATCAACTTGCCACCAAAATGCACAGCTTACAAGTTTCCCACAGATGTCCACAGCCAGCTGCTGATTTCAGACTGTCCTGCAAGCGAGACATGACTTGTTGACTTGTCACCTTGCGTTTCTCAAGCTACCCTTTGGCTTTCTTAGCTGTTCGAAGTGGGAGTTCCTAATTTGGTCCGTTAGTCAAGGCGCCAGGTGAACCTTGCATCAAATCCAGTAGTCGACCGGCAGCCTTCAATTGGGAGGATGCACCCCACTGCATCAGCTTCCAGGTTCGGCCTTCAACCAGGTGGTTCTTTGTTTGGTTTCCCGTTTGTTTTGAGAAGACAGGTCCGTCCCCCCGCCCTCAACCAGGAGGTTTCTTTCTTTCTGTTTGCAGGTCAAAAACAGGCCAAATTCCCAAACCCCAATTTTCAAGTTGAGCTGACTACCCAGCCTTACTATGCTTGTGACAACCGTCCGAGTCACGTTAGCTTGCTCTCACCAGGACAACACAGCCTTACGCCGGGCCCCGCGCCGCTTGGCCGGCCGCCATTTTTCAGAATGTGAGGGAAGGTCGCTTCACCCCGAAAAGGGCGCTCAAAAAGTAAGCCCAGGTGATATCCCCAACAGCATGCGGGCTCTTTTTAGTGCTCGCACCACCTCGCAGAACCTCGTGGAGCCCTCGTGGAACCCTGGTGGAACCCTCGTGGAACCTTACCGCAGGGCCGCCCCGGACCACCCTGGAGCCTATCTGGGCTGAGACCCCACAGCTTTCAGCTGTTGGGGAACTCCCAGCACTTGATGCACTCTCACTGAAAGGCAAGCAACATCATGGGTAGCCTGGAAACTTCGGAGGACAGTGGCTGTGGCGCCTGGCGCGCGCCCGCAAATTCGGTCAGGTCAATGGCTGCAAACAAGTACCCTGCGCCCTACACCTGACTTTGGAGATGAAGCCAGAACGAACTCAACCTGTTCATTCTACAGGTGGGCCTACCTGAAAAAAGAAAACCCAATGTCGACCACTTGGCCTATAGCTCACCGGCACCCATTCTGTGGAGTGTCCCTTTAGCAGCCCTTTAGACCCCCCTTTCTGACGTGACCGCTGCACTCAGGTCCGCGCCAACAGGCTGGGATTCGTCCACCTACATCGAGGCGTGGGGTGAAAGCTCCCCTCCCCGGCCAAGGGTTGGGGGGGGGGGGGCCTTGTTGCAGGTCGTTGTTTTGTTTTGGCAATCCGTGGACCCCTAGTGGGGTGAATTAGTCATGAATGTATAGCTGTTCAGAGCCACCCAGGGGCCAAAATGGCCAGGCGTTTATACATGATGGCGCGGTGAAAGAGACTTTGAAGGGCAGAACCGGACCAGGGGGAAGGTGACCCTACCACCAAAAAACAACTGGACTGAGAGAGAGTCACCAATTTGTCCTACTGTTTTCTTGTTATTTTTAGAAGCCGGCTATGTGTCAAAATGATGGGAAAAGAGAAGCCAACATGAATGCCGCGACAAGAGACATATAGGCTCTTTTTCCATTGGGCAATACAAAGAACTGGCTCGTCTCGAGTGGGCAATAAGGGGCGATCCAATCGTTTCCCTTGTTTGCAGCAAAATTGTTCCAGGCGACCCCGGACAAGCCCAGCCTCTCCGCCCTCGAGCGGCGCCCGGGGTCACCGCCGGCCGAGGGCCAAGGCGGGAGCCAGGTCTTGCCTGGGGCCCTGTTTTTTTCTTTTTTTTTCTTTTTTTTCTTCTCATTTTTTAATGTTTGTTTCTTCAAACAAATAAATAGAACAATCAACACACACATACACACACAAACACACACACACACACACACACACACACACACACACACACACACACACACACACACACACACACACACACACACACACACACACACACACACACACACACACACACACACACACACACACACACACACACACACACACACACACACACACACACACACACACACACACACACACACACACACACACACACACACACACACACACACACACACACACACACACACACACACACACACACACACACACACACACACACACACACACACACACACACACACACACACACACACACACACACACACACACACACACACACACACACACACACACACACACACACACACACACACACACACACACACACACACACACACACACACACACACACACACACACACACACACACACACACACACACACACACACACACACACACACACACACACACACACACACACACACACACACACACACACACACACACACACACACACACACACACACACACACACACACACACACACACACACACACACACACACACACACACACACACACACACACACACACACACACACACACACACACACACACACACACACACACACACACACACACACACACACACACACACACACACACACACACACACACACACACACACACACACACACACACACACACACACACACACACACACACACACACACACACACACACACACACACACACACACACACACACACACACACACACACACACACACACACACACACACACACACACACACACACACACACACACACACACACACACACACACACACACACACACACACACACACACACACACACACACACACACACACACACACACTCGCGCGCGCACACACACACACACATAAAAGAAGACACTACACAACAGAAAACAACAAAACAAAAACAAGAGGACGGAGATTTGGAGTGGTTGGTTTTTGTTCGAGACCCAGCGATCTAGCACCTGGGGAAAGCAGAGCCACTTTGCCAACCGATCTAGAGGGAAAATGGAAAGCCCCCCGCAATCATCAAGCCACCAATCCAAACCACCAAGTAGGAGGGCGGAAGTCTTGGGCTTCAGGTTGAATGACAAAAGCAGGGAAAGGGAGAAGGTCCATTGTGAAGGAGGGGCCAGCGCCTGATTTCGCAAATAAGGGGGCTCCTTGTTGGGACACACAGCCAATTTGTTGGACCTTGCTTGGCCAAACAACCGCAACCTTTGGCGCAAGCTCCTTAGGCAGCCCTATTCCTTCTACCTGCCAGGCAAGAGACCATGCCAACCTTGCAACCCGTTTGAGCCCCATTTCAAGGTGTTGTTACCTTGTAATTTGAACGTCCACCTGAAAACTATCAGGCGTTTATTTTGGACCCCCAGGCAAAAGCGAAGAACCCAAAGGCCAAGGACACTTTGCAGAGAAATTGCGGCGTGGATCCGTGGATCCGCCAGTTTGTCTACATCATTTTCTCCAACATTTGCTTCGGACTAGCCTCACAGCCCATTGCCGCGTGACACAGCTTTGAAGCCATTGTTTGTTGGTGTATACGAAAAGGACATCAACTCAGAACCATTGTTTGTTGGTATTTACGTTGGGAAATCAAATCAGAAACCGAACGCGTGTCTGAACGGTGGCGCTCGAGAAGCGGATTTCGAAAACCAACATCCACAGCTTGGGTTTCTGGCGGCCTTTGTGCACCTCGGTTCAGGCGCCCGGCGGATGCTGAAGCCGGATGAGCCGCCGCCATGGGAACGGCTCTATCAGCAAGCGCTCCAGGCGCGCTCCTTGGGAAGCGAATCCATTTGTCGGTCACTTTTAAAGGCAGGCTGCAAGCCCTGGGCCTAAGGTCTCCATTTAAGGTACTTTCAGTAACAGGACACCCACCACATTTGCTCAAGTCCCGATTTCCTGGACTTGAAGAACTTTTTGGGGCTGGACCATTGAAGTGGTAACTGGAAAGTTTGGTTGCTTGTTTTGTCCAGTCCACTTGATCGGAAGTGAGACAAAGGGGGTGCCGCTGAGAATTGAGACAGCATGCAGCATTGGTTCATGTTGGAGGGCGAAGCATTCATGAGATGGCCCACTTTGGTATGCTTTGGCATCCTCAAAGGTCCATCAGCCGCGCACACGCGCGTTTGCGAGCGCTGCGCATGTTGCCAAAGATGTTTCCTCCTGGCAAATATGTGATGTTTAGTTTTGGATGTTGGGTGTCAACCATTGATTCCCACACTCAGACACAAGCACCACCCGGACACGCATTCGTGTGTGTGTGTGTGTGCTTCGCGTGCGCGCTTGGACAGGGTAACCTTTGATTCGGGCATCTTCGCGGACCAGCTGACCTGGGGTGTGGATCAACCAATTCCTGGCACGCCTTCTGCTTGAATCCGATCAAACCCCATCCCTTCTGCTTGAGGGGATGTTCCTGGTCCCGCTGTTCAGACACTGTTGGTCGCTGTGGTTGGAAGGGTGTTAACCATTGGTTTGTGTATTTGATCAATCCTTGAATTTAGAATTAGTTGTGACTGAATAACCTTGCTTTCCCCTATATGATTGAATAGCGTTCCTTTGAGCTTCTTCTACATCCAGCTGGGGAGTTTTCAGATCCAAGCCACACCACAAGCCAGAAAGAGAGGCCAGACAAACGGCAAGTCGTTTGAGCGTCGACTTTGGAAGGCCAAGGAAGCCGAGCCGGAGGCGCGCCGGGGAGCTGGCGAGCAAGCTGGCGCCCGAACCAAGGGAACTCACCGGCTTCATGGGATTTTTTGGGACAGTAAATCTGATTAGGCCCAGAGCCAGGCCAGGATTTGTTCAATAGCACCCTCCAATGTGGCGAACATAAAAGTGAACATAAAGCTGAACATTCTACACCTCATTCTTACCCATGCAGAACATGTGGTCCGGAAACGTGCGGCCCAACGGACCAGTTTTGGCGTCCACGCAAAAACATGTCATGGGTGGATGACCCGTCCGCACATTTTCGAGCAATACACACACACTCCGGACATGGGTTTTCGCCAGGCATCCGGGTGGGCTCCCCTCTGAGAGGGCTTCCAATTTACGCAGACAGGAGTCAGACCTCTCTTTGCGTGGTAATCAACCAACCGTTCGGGGTCCAATTCCGGAATCAGCAGACATCCATTTTCAGCTTGCAAGTCATTGGAGTATTCCGAATTCCCGACCAAGTTGCCAATGGCCGGCTCACGCCAAAGCCGCGGGCACTCGCATGTGTGCTTTCGGCAAGCGTGGCTGCATGCTTTTTGACAGCGACACCAATAACTCCACCGCGTTCAATAAAGCTGCGCTGTCTACCTCCACGTGTTGAGGCGGGCGAAGCCAACAGTTTTTGGGCAGGGGTGCAGAAAGCCGCCAGCGGCAACAATGAACAAGTCTGATGCCAACACCTATTTGAGGAGGATTGCTGAGCTTGCACGCTGTCACATGATCTCAGGCAAAGTTGTTGGCAGAGATGATGCGTTGCAGGCAGTGATGCAGTCGATGGAAGAGCCAGGATTGCTCACCCTGGAGTTGGGGCGCAAGAATTTGGGCAAGACATTGCTCAAAGGTGAGGCAATCCAGAGATGCAAAGAGAGCTAAAGGAACATCGGCATCGTTTCGGTCGACATGCGGGATGCTGATACGAGTGGCAAGCCGTTAATGACAGCACTCGACCTGCAACGGCAAACATACATTCTGAAGTGGGCCTCGCGGGCAGTGGAAGTCTTGCGTGCAGTGATCGCGCAAACTGTCACCTTCTTTATGGGAAGGAAACATAGTGTTGCAGTGCAAAGAAAACAAATGGCTATGGGTCAAGACCCAGTGAACATTCTAATCCCCAGTAAAATAGATTAAAATGGGTGGTTCACCAACCCGCTCATATCTTCAGAGTTTGGCTACGCGTTTCGCTTGATGGAATGTGGCTTGGACTTGAGAACCATCAGCAAGACAATTATCAGCGGCGAAGTTTCAGAGTTTGACATGGTGAACATGCTGCAGGCTGATTCGGGCATGGACAAAGACTTGGCAAAGATGTTCACACCACCAAGCAGGCTTTGGGCCTGCTCATGCAAGAAAAGAAGGATTTCAACCCCGATGCAGTTGTGGATTGCCCTGGGCTGCCTTCAGGAGAACACCCGGAGGCGAGGGCTCACCTGGAACACATCGCCAAACAAGGAGACCTCCTTCGTGCGAACTGTGGAGGCCGACAAAGGGCTCGAGGATGATAGTACAGGGGGGTCTTTTTGCCACCTTGGAAAAATGTTCGACCCCCTCGTGGTGAAGGATTCCTTTTTGGGGGGGTCGCCAATTCTCTCACAGAAGGTGGCAAAAAGACCCCCCTGTGATCGCGGAAAAGAATGCTGGGGGGGTAATTCGTAACGGTGTCAAAGCCTTCGGTCTGCCCAACATCTTCAAGGGCACAGACTACGAATGGGCTGTCATCCCATCATCCTATCAATGAAGTTGAAAATCGCTCTCGGCTCGAGAGCATCTGACCATCAGGCACTACGACAAAAGCTGTTTGGGTCAGGCAGCTCCAAACGGACGGTGACGGCGGCTTCGTCCTCGAGGGGAATGCGTTCCCAATCGACCCAGTGCCCAAAACATTGCATATTTGAAGAAAGCCATCAAGAATACAGCTTCAAGGAGTATGGTGGCTGGAAGAAGGAGGAAGAAGATGCGCAACTCAACAGTGGCAGTTCTGAGGAAGATTGCTATGGCTGTCTCCTACCATCTACCGAGTGATGCAGATTATTTTCCAGGCCTGCATGCAGAAGCCGAATCAGCCGCTGTCAAAAGAGCACATCGAGCTATGATCAGACAGAACAAAAACAGCTGTTGGAGGGGGGGGGGGGGTCTGCAGCAGAGCCCGCAGTCAGCCCCCCCAATCCTGCTTTCCCTCAAGCTTCCCTCAAGCCAAATAGCTTGTTTTTAGGTGGGTTGCCGGATTCGGCGAACGGTACCGTTTTGCTTTGACCTCCCGCCACTCGTCTCAGCGCGCTCTCGTCTCAGGCGCCGACGCCTGTCCCGACGCCCGTTACGCCGAAGGCGGCGCGGGGGCTGGAGGATCAGGAAATCTTCTGGTTGCGCAACGAGGCGGGCGCCCAGTGGGAGGTGGAGCAAAGTCTGGGCTGCTGGGATGCGGGCAGAATCTCTCTCTCTCTCTCTTTGTGTGTGCGTGTGTCGAAGCGCCAAGGGTGGTCTGATTTGGCGGCCTTTGAAGGAATTTCCAAAAGAGGCGGTTTGAAGGATGATGGTGTCAGCACGCTGCAGGGTTTCTAACAACTAGATTCCAGCTTGCACCGCGATGCGCCGTGTGTATCGTCCTTTCGAACCCATCTGTTGAAACCTACCAAAATGCGTCAGTCACAACACGCGCCATGATTTATTGTCCTCTTTGACAGGAAAACACTTACGAAATGGAGGTTTGAAGAATCTTTTCGCGAGCAACATGTTTGATCTGTTTGCGCCTCGCCCTGTTCAGGTGACAATCCTTATCCTTGAAACATCAACCTTTGTCACCCACCATGCGCAAAGAACACTTTTTCTTGGGGCCTTGTCCCTTCTTTCAGTTTGGTGGTGGTCAGAAGCAATCAGATCCCCGGTTTTGGGTTGCACAATGGCGCCTGGGGGACGTTGATTTTGCTTGCGATTCGTGTTTGGCGGACTTAGATCCAGGGGCTCAGTTTCCCAAGAGAAAAAAACAAAAAAAACAATTCCTGGGTTGTATTCCATATAACGACAACAACTCGAAATACAAGTATATAAGTGTACACGGCGGCAATCAAATTACGGGAGCCCTGCCCGTCTCCGCGTCAGGTGCATTTGTTGCGGCGGGAGGTGACGCGATTGCAGCAAGAGCCGCCAAAGGAGCCGCCGGCTTCTGGCGCCTTGGCCGGCATTGCCCCATTTTTCTACAGCCAGCGAGCATTGGATGGATGTGGCTCAAAAAAGTAACAGATGGGGTTACGCAGGTTCTGGTCCATGTTTCCACTTATGTTGGGTACCGGTTTTTGAGCCACAGCTAGATGTTCAAGGAAGACACAAGGAAGCCGACTCCTTTTTTAGGAACTCATATATTTTGCCACAACCACATGACTGAGTGACGGGGTTGCTAACAAACTGGGACTTGCTGTTCGGCATGAACCATAGGAAACTTTTGGAGTCGTTGTAGCAGCCGTCCAGCTGGGAGCAGCATTGAGCGGAAGGGATTGAGCGCTCGTCAGCATGACACTTGGGAGAAGAAGGACCTGTCATATCCTGGCTCAGAGCCATAGGAGAGCCATGGTAAAGCCGCCTGCAATGGTCGATGTTACATTATTGGCAAATGGTCATTAATTGCTAAACGTCGCAAACGTTGCCCCCGGTTTCATTGAGAAAAAAATAACAGTGGTCTGAATCCCCACCCAGAGGGGGCACCCTCTTAAGCCAGCAGGTCAGTGCAGGCACACGGGCCTGTTTTCTTTGCAGGTTCGAAGCCCATGCATTTCGGGATGCACGACCTGCCCAAGCGTCCAGAGAAGGAGAAGGAGAAGGAGATCAAGGAGCGAGTCGATGCCAAAGTGGTAGAAGCCTTCTCTTACGTCTTACGGGTGTGGGTTTTTGAGGGCTGGTTAGGGAACCAACAGGAAACCACCATTTGTGGGTTCCTCTATTTGGACGCGTACCTTTGTGGGAATGGGACTGTCAAAGCGACGATGGTTGTCCCAAAGGTACCAGGCCGGCGACGAATCCAACGAGCGTTTGAGTGAAGCCCATGAAGCCGCCTTGTACAACAGCCAGGCGACCATCTCTGAGCTTGTCGGCCGGGATACACCGTGCTGTAGAGTGCAGAGGTGTAGAAGTTGTTCTAGGGGAATCAATTTCCAATTCCATTTTTTTCAGCCATCGTTCTTTGCAAAAACCGATCGCCATTTCCCCGGGGTGTTTGGTGGTTTTCTGGAAATAAGGATCCCTGGAAAGAATGGGGAAGTTACCCCTAGAAATTGTGCCAACATTCTGCTAGGATTCAAATCTGCCTCCTGAAGCTCCCCTTACCTTGGTGGTTCCCAGCTTGCCATCCGGTTCCTTGAATTTTTAGATGCTTTGTTGGCTAGTGGTTGTTTCCATCTCAACCACAAGCCCTGAGGTTCTTGAGTTTTTAGTTGGTCCAGTGGTTGGGGTTCCATTGCTACAAGTCAGTCACTTGAGCAGGGGATCCGAAAACGGACACCCCAACTCAAACGTCGGCACGAGCGTCCGAGCGCCTCCGCGGAGGATCCGGAGCCTTTGTCGCCGACCAACGCGGAGATCGTCACGTCCCTGCGGGCGGAAAGGGATCGGCTGCTGGCAGAGGCCGCCAAGCTGAGAAGCGCCTCGGCCAGGCAGCGCGGTCCGTTTGGGGTGATCTTAGGTAAGTCGGCGGGTGTGGGTCAAAACCGATGGGATCCCATGTTGAGGTAGGTGCACCACCCATTTTAGTCTATTTTGGTCGGGATTGGGAAGTTCAGTGGGGGTTCAGGGATTTTGACCCATGGCCAGGTGAGTTCCATGCGGCTAAGGGGACGAATCTCAGCTACACCAGTTAGAACAACGGTTAGCACTTAGCACCTTTGTAACATGCGGGCCAACGTAGGAAAAAAAGGGAAAAAGAAAGAAAGGTGCCACAGGGGGCCTCCTTGTCGTCACGCTACCCGCAGGAGATCGAGGAGACCAGGGCGGGTGAGAGTTGTTTACAGTTGTGGATTCCGGTAAGAAAAATCCAAGAGAAGGACACTATGGATATGCAGTATAAGAAATATGAGTCGAAAAACCAGGAAAGTTTCTTGCAAGTTTTTGCACCGCTGGTCGATTTTTCCGTACAAACACTGGGGGGCGTGGAGAAAAAAGTCGGACGAGTCGCCGAGGCGTCGCCAAGACAGAAAGACCCAAGGCGGCAGCCAGGAGACGGGCGCGAAGAACGGAGATGGGGTGGGGTGACATCCGGGTGCCGTCGCCAGTCTGACCAAAGATCGCCAGTGGCACCCTGCTTTTCCTTGAATAAGATGCCCGACCCAATGTGAAGAATAGAGTCTTTTTTGTTACGGGCTAGATGCCGAAGCGCAAGTAGGAAAAGACCCGGTGATTGGAGGTCCCGGGCACCCTTTTGGGAGTGGCTCCCGGCTGAAAAACGGGCTTCCATGAGTTGGTTGGATGGCTGCCTGGTGTGCTAGTCGGTGTTTTTGTCGGTTGGCTTGTTGGTTGTCGTTCGGGCGCTCGACTCGGTTGCTCTGTCAGTCCGCCGGTTGCTTCGGTCGCTGGTTGGCCAGGATGCCCAGCAAGCCCGAAGCTGCGCCGGAAGCGCCGGAGGCGCCCGAGCGGGCCAAGACCGCCCGTGCGCTCCAACAGGTGCGGCACCGAGGAGCGAAATGAATTAGTGGTCCTTGGTGGATCCGGCAAATGCTCGCAGATCTGTTGGAAACTGATCGATTTTCTGCAAAGGTCGTATAGATTACTAGGTCTCAAGGGGGCAAGAGCTACTCGGAAGGTTGACCGAGGCAGTGAAAAGTGATAAAGCCTCCCTTTTTCTGTAGGCGGGCAGGCTTGCGCACGGATTTGATTGTGAGCATTGATGCGTTTGAGCATGGCACTGCGGCCTGCATGAACCCTCTCGACTCACTCGATGACACAAGATCTCAAGGTTCTGTAAGTTACGTGTTTGTCTCAACAACAACATTAAACAAAATCAAACTGTAGCATGATGCTTAGAGCACTCTTGTCGAGCTGTCAAGTTATGAGTGATTCAGCTCCCTTCTTTGCGGGGAATAGTTGTCGGCCCGAGGCAGGATGGAACCAGAAGCTAAAGACAAAGCAGGCCCGGGACCTGGCTTGCCTTGCATTGCTCAGCACGCCTTGGCTTTCTGCAGTGCGCTTTCAGCTGTTTTTGCCAGGAAGGCCGAAGCAGCCCGAGCCCAAGCCCGCGAAGCGTGCGCCAGGCAAGCCCAAAGCGAAGCCAGAGCCAGCGGAACTTGAGCAAGGCAAGCCCAGGGCAGGGTCCCAAAAGCCAGGGAGGCCAAAGCCAGCAGAACCTGAGCAAGAGCCCAAGCCAGCGGAGCAAGAGCCAGCAGAACCTGAGCAAGGCAAACAGCCTCGGTAAGGCCAGCAGCCATGGCAAGGCAAGCAGCCTGGGCAAGGCCAGCCTGGGCAAGGCCAGCAGCCAGGGCAAGGCAAGCAGCCCGCGGCAGCGGAGCCAAAGCCCGAAAAGCCAAAGTCAGCAGCTGGGCAAGTCAACTCCACGGCAAACCCAGCGACAACATGCCAGTCCAAGCAAGACACAGGCACAGCGAGGCCCAAGCCGCAGCCAAAGTCAGCGGAACCTCCGGGCAAGCCCAAGAGGAAGCCCAAGCAGAAGCAGAAGCCCAAGCTCGAGATCCGGCTCGCGATCCAGCCCATCCCGACAGGACGCGTCAGTCTGAGGTTTTTCTTACTGCCAGCGCCCCCATGTGACCCAGAGGTAGACTCGTTCAGCCAAAACGGACAGTCTACTTAGATAACTCCAAAAGCCTACCTGGGGGCCGGACTTGCAAGATGCTGGACTAGGCTTCTCGGGCGTTGTGCTGGGCTGCCATAACCAGGCCCAGGCCCCTTCCAACTGCTTGCTCTTATGTAGATTGTTTTTGTCAAGCCGAGCGTTCCGAAAAGCAATGTTGCCTACTCAAGGCTTTGAGGCAACTGAACTTTACCAACTGTGCCCGCGTTCCAGTGGGTAACCATTCGGGTCCCCCTGCCCCTGTTGAAGGGATCCTGACTGGTCAGGTTTTCACAGCACCATGGATAGGGAAACGGGGCATATCTTCTTGCGGGGAAAGAAGCCGGCAGGCCCCGCGAAGCCGCGGTAGCAGCAGAAGCCAAAGCCCCAGGCAGAAGCCAAAGGCAGGGCGGGCATGGGTGTTACTTTGAGGTTTCAGTTGGTTGAACATGGAAATATATTGGATTCGGCTGGTTTCAGTTTGGTTGAGCATGGATGCATTCTCCTGGTTTCAGGTTGAACCTACCAATTTGTCAGTGCTAAAATATACTTGTCCAAAAGGACACGCCGGAGCGTGGCCAGCGCCATTTCAGCCGAGTCTTCAGCGAATGGAGTTGCTGGTGGCCCAAGGTTGATATGGGCAAGTTGTGTGCCCCAAAAGATGTAGGACGGTTTGCGTCCAGTTCTTTTCTCGGAACGTTTGCGGGTTGCCTGCGCTTTGCGCTTTTGCGCTAAAGAGTCGAGGGACTGCAAGAAGGCTACGCCAAGGGAGGTGGGATCCGAGCCGACCTTCCGACCTTCCGAAGGCCCAGTGTACGGAACTGAGAGGGGTCCCCCGATTTTCAGCTGAAGTCAAGTGCCGCAGTTTGTACACTTGTTTGGGTGTGTCACCTTTTTCCCCCAAAATGGTGGTGTTTTGACGTGTTTTGCATTTCTCCCCCTTCGAAACCACAAAAGAGGGCACCAAGAAAAGAGACACAGCCACAAGCGATGGCCCGACTCATGCTTTTGTTTCCTTTGTTTTCTGCGGTTTCCCGTTGAAGCCGCAAAAAAGAAATAGCCTCTTGCCAATCATGGAAGTCGACAGAGGGATTCCCCCAAAGGAAAGAAGTCTTCCAGAACACTCCGGTCAGCTTCCATCATTGGAGGGTAGGTACCCAACCGAGAGACGTCCTTTCCCTTTTTTTGTGGCTCCAGGCTCCCCCCACCCCCCGCAGGCCCCCAGCTCTCGGATCTTCGAGCGGCTCCACCGAGACCACGCCTACCGGCAGTGGGAGCTCGAGGACCGATCCGAAAATCGACGCGGGTCCCAAGGGAAGCGACAGGTGCTTGGTGGCAGCCATCTGGTTCCTTTACGTTTTTGGTCCGGCGTCCATTTAACCCACCAACAGTTAGTGGTGCCTTGCTTGACTGACCGTGAGGCAACCACTCACGTTTCAGATCCGGTGCGAAGCCTGGTGGCACAGCTAATCATTGCAGGTGAGTTGGCGTCTTTTCCCATGTAACTTGCAGACTTGCCATGCATTTGGCAACATGCAATCTTCAAAACCCAAGCACAATAATGTCTTTGGCAACTTGCAGATGTTTGTTGAAAACGATTTTGGAACATGAAACATTCATGCGTTCCCTTCCTGATTTTTTGGGTTCCGCGGCTGCACCACGTGGCAAGTCTTTAAAATACTTGTTTGACTTGCTTTACTTGTCTCATGTCTTACTATGTTTTACCTACTAAACTGCAACAAATGAAAGTTGAAGTTCGTTACAAAAAAAGATAAACCGACATAAATTATATTTGTTCGAAACATGCATGTGATCTTACTAATTGATGCATTTATAAATATAAGCTTTAGGACAACAACAAAACAACAAGAAAAACCGCCGGGGCGTGGGGCGTGCGGCGTGGGGTTTCTCGGCTTCTCGGCTTCTCGAGGAGCGGCGCGCGGAGGCGGCGGCGCGGGAGCTGCAGCTGGCGAAGGCGCTGCAGGGCCGCACTGCCGCAGCCCCGGAACTGGGCCTGCGGGGGGGGGGGGAGAAGGGGAAGGGAAGGGGAAGGGAAGGGGGGGAAGGGGGGGGAGTGGGGGAGGAGGGGGGGAAGGGTGGGGGAGGTGAGGTTGTCAATAGCCTGGCTGGATCTACTCCGATCACCAAACCCTTTCAACACGGATCCGGGGGAGGGGGAAAAAGCAAACAACGACCCGGGGAGATCTCCATGTGTGGCAACCCATTTCCCGCTGCTTGGGGAAGACCAGACATTGACATTGGGGGTCCTCGTGGGGGGGAGGTTCTGTATGGTGGACCCATGCGTTTGGAAGGCTGCGGATCGGCTCGTGGTGAAAGGGGAGCAAGATAAATATGACCCAAAAGCTTTTGTTTGGTGGACGCGATTTTGAGGAGCCTCGTTCTTTAAGGGTAATTCGCACTTCCCGAGTTCCTGGACTTGAAACTTTTTGTGTTTGAACCATTCTAGCGGCATATAAAAAGTTTGATTACTTTTTTGGGCAGTTCAGGAAGCGAGTATTGGGGGGAAGGGTTTGGGGCTGTTTTAGATGGGCTGATGCGGGTTTGGAATGATTTGGTTTTGTTTGGGTTTTGGGCGCCTTATTTAGGTGACCTTTAGTTGGTTTGGAGCACCCCCCCAATCCTGGCCAATGCGAGGGAAGCTGGCAGAAGGTTCATCTAGGAATCTTATATGTATACACATTATGATTTATCTGTCTAATGTAGTGACAAGACCCGCTTGATTGCTATTGGGTACTATTGGGTTGAGTCTTCAGACTTAAACTTTTTTGATTGAAATGAAGTTGGTTTTCCGAATTGAACCCACAAAAAGTGGACAACCAAGTCAGGTAACTAAGGGTGGTTTGGATTGGTGGTTTTGAATTTAAACCCCTGGTTCTTGTGGAGGGTGAACAAGGCGCTCCGGAAAACCACCAAACCACCGATTCGGCTCCGAACTACCAATTGGGAAGTTGAGTGACCAGACCCGTGGGTTGCTTTTTTGTTTAGGTTGGGTTTGGGTTAGGGGCGGTTGGTTGGTTTTGCCGGGTCAACGGCAACCCAAGGTTTCGGCTCGTTTCGGCTCGCTGCTTCTGGCCGCTTCGACCCGTCTCGAGGTCACCGTGGCCTCCACCGCGGAAGCGCGGGCGGCGGGCACGCGGCTCCACGAGGAGGCCAGGCACATGCAGACGCGGCTGGCCGCCAAGCGGGCGGAGCTGGAGGACCCGTGAGAACTCGGTCCAGGATTGTGCCCTTTCTCACCCCCTTTTTGGTTGGGAGGGTGCTGCCCTTTTACCTTTAAAAAAAGAAAATGGGGGAAGGTTCCCCTACTAAATATAGACTTCATACAAAAAAAGGGTACCCTGATTCTGATCTCTCTACTGCAGGACCTAGAGAATGTTGTTCTCAGTTTCCGAGTTCCTGGACTTTAGTCGCTTTTGGGGCAGGGCTCCTTAAGAGATACATTTTGCCCATTTGAAACATGGCTTGTTCAACACCAAAATGAAGGGAACCCACGATTGACAAGGCAATGTTCAGGTGTATAATGTAAGGATCCCTGTTGGGGCTGGACCATTTCAGTGGTAAACAAAAATCACACTTTTGACCAATCCACTCAGGAAGTGAGTGTTCGCCCCAGTTTGACGCATCTTTCTGTTTTTTAAGGGTACCTGTTTACCTTGGTTGAATGGGACGCCAAAACGAGAACGAGAACCACAGCCTTGTTTGGTCCCCTATTTTGACACATATCCAATGTCTTGGCCGTTCGCGGCTTCTGCGGCTTGTCATGGCTCTCGGTAGCTTTTGTGACGTTTCGTGATAATCGGCCCTATCCTTAGCAACCAATGAGCAATGCCAAGCCTATCCACTTTTATTCGCCTTGATCCAGCCTAAACCCCCACTCCAGACACAACCCTCAACCCACCCTAAAATGAGCGCTTCTGGGGAGCATGTGCTGTTGCTTGTTTAAAGGAGCCGCACCCCCCCCCCCCAAACCAATCCCCAACCTACCCTAACCCAACCCCGAAACCAACCTTAAGAAAATCCCGGAACACACCCCAAGCCATCTTTCGAACCGGCCCGAATCGCACCGGGGGACGAACTCTGACTGAGCAACCCTAAGCCACTCTTGATCCCGTTCTAAACCTGGCTTCAGCCCGCCCGAAATCAACCCTCAGCCAACCCTACCCTCAACCCACCTTAATCCCTGCCTAACCAACAATAGAACAACAAGTCAATTCTGCGCCCTCAAGTTTTTCCCTGCACACTTTCTGGAGGTTTTCCCCAAGCCCAAAGCCCAGAAGCCAGCAACTGAAGATACCGGAAATGACCACGCTACCAACAGCAAAGGCTTAGCAGCATTACGCACTTGTGGGGTTCCAGGGCCTTTGTGCCTTTTGGGAAGCCCATTCTAGTAGCAAACAACAAGTATACCAATCCACTCAGGACATGGGGTTGTTGCATGCCAGATGTGTTTCTTGGAGTCAGTGTGGCATGCCACGGGACGCAACCGCTTCGCGGTTGCAGAAAGGCGGTCCATGACCCGCAGCCATGCTGCGATATGGCTTTGATCCACCAATTGGCTTTGGTCCCTGAGGTAGGGCTAGCCTTTCAAGGAGAAACCTTGAACAAACAAATCGGAGACACACCTTGGGGGGAAACCTCAGGGGAAACGTCAGGTCCTCCCTTTGTTAGCTCGAGGTTGTTGGCTTTAGGTTCTCAGCTTTTGGCTTTTGGCTTTAGTGGCTCCGTTTTGTTGGTCCTTTGCCGGTTGACTTCGCTTGCCCCCTTGAAAGGGAGCACCCAAAGGGAAGCTTATGGAGGAGGGGAACCTCAAAAAACGCCGTTTCCGGTTTGCTAGATGTTGCCCCGCCTACCAGCAAAATCGAGTTCCTTTCCTTTTGACTTCCTGAAAGAAGACCCACCAACAAAAAGAAAGAGGTATATAATTACCCTCGGAAGACACCACCCACCAACAAAAAAAGGGTAATTACCCTCCGAAGACACCACCCACCAACAACAAAAGGGGTAATTACCCTCCGAAGACACCACCCACCAACCAAAAATGGGAAATAAGCCTCAACTGCCCGACAAAACCGGGATAAAATTACCCTCAAAAGCCACACATCCCCATGCCTCCCCGTCTTTTCCTTTTTGGGTCACGACTCGAGGACCTCCAGGCCAGGGAGCCCCGCTTCGGCGAGCCCGCCGAAAGCGCCGAGGGCTCCACGGCGCGGGGGGCGCAGCTCTACGCGGCGGCGCTGCGGCGGCAGCAGCGGCAGGAGGAGCGGCGGCGGCTGCAGAGCCTGGAGGAGGAGCAGTGGATCAAGGAGACACCAGCGGGGGCAGAGAGGGGGAGAGAAGGGGAGAGAAGGGGAGAGAGGGAGAGAGAGGGAGAGAGAGGGAGAGAAGGAGAGAGGGGCAGGTGTAGTTATGAGCGTTTTGTTTTGTGTTTTTTGTTTTGGGTGTTGGAAAGCGAGGAACAAATACATCAACAAGTGTTTGTGTGCTGTTGGGTTGATCCTGTTTTACGGATTGTATTTGAAGGGAAACTGAAACAATCAAGGAGCAGTTGGAAAGAAGCTGGTGTGTGGTTCCTGAGCAGGTCCATATCTGACTTTTTGGTTACTTCATCATGAAGCCAATGATGTCTTGCACCTCGGAATCTATATGAGGAGAACATTGGCCCCGAGTAGTCTATATAGAGTTTGAGTGGGAAAGCCTGCCGGTGTTGTTTCCACAGTTGGCTGTCATCATCACAATGCGAGGATCCTGGGACTGCTATCCATGACATACTCCCCTGCTTTTGGCTAAATATACATGATTTTCACGTTTGCATGTCACTACTTGTTGTTCTTGTTCGAATTGAGGCCCCAGCTTACGATTTGTTTTGGCGACAAACGATCATCGCGTCGCATTCGCAGGACCACGATCTCCACAAGTTCAGCAGCCGTGATGGATGCGAACCGTATACACGCCTCTACGAGGATGCGAAGCAACGGAATCATCGCCTCTTCATGAAGGGGCTCTTTGGCACGGATCGATTCTCGCGGCGGAAAGTTATCAAAGTCTCAAAGTCCACAAAGATGCTTCGAGAGAACAGCGGCTGGTTCTGTGAAGCAAGGTCGTGTAGACATGTTCCCAAGGCGAACTGCAACCGCGATGTGTTTGCGTTCGCGTGCTTGCCCGTTCGTATTATTTTTATGCTACTTATTCTGTTGGTGTGATGTGTTTTGTTTGTGCCCCCCTTCGACAAGCATGACCTGCTGGTATGCGATCGGCCCTCTCACAGCTTGATTTGCCGTGGCCAACCTTTTGATCGCTTTGTATCGCAGATGTGGTCTTGTTTCCACTTCTCACCTTGAACGTTAGCCCTTTGTGTCCGGGCCTTTTGGACAGAGAGTTATTCGCAGATGGAAAAGCCGTGGCGAATCTGGGAATTTGCCACGGCTGGTCTGGAACCACACAAAAGCCCCCCGTTCATCCCCAGTTTTGTCTTTGTTTGGGAATGTCTCGGGCCCTCGCGCCTGGTGCGAAAGAAGGTTGACCTTTTGGCCCTTGATTGTTGGACGTGCGACGCCCAAAAAGGGTTCGTCAAAGTGTGTTTTGCTGGGGGGGAGTGTTCTTTGGACATACCACTTCAAGGGTATTTTGAGAGATGCAAAATCATGAGACGAAGTTGTCTCAACCACTGGATGGTCCCACAATGGTATCCAATTGTTCTGCCAAACCGAAGCGCGACGAGGCTCTCAAAAGCTGCAAGTTTCCGGTTTCAGCGACCCTCAAAGACAGATAGAGCCCAGTAGCAAAGCACAGACCCCACAATCGCAGGTCACTACAAGCCCGCACAACGCACATTTCCTCTTGATTTTCCTTTGAGCGCACACAGAACCATTTTCCTCCCCACCAACCCCCCAACAACCCAACAACACCCCCCCCCCGCCCCCCCCCCCCCCCCCGAGGCAGCTGAAGCTTGCGGAGGAGGCCCAAGGCGCGGTCTCGGTGCACGAGCCGCTGGGCGCGGACTTCGCCCAGCGGGTGGCGGAGCAGCGGGCGCGGTGTCTCTACCAAGACGCCCAGCAGCGCCAGGAGACGTTGGCCGAGGTCCCCCAAGCTGCCCCTTTTACCCTTTCTTTTTTCGGAGAGGGTTTTTTGGGGAGGGTTCCCCTAACAAAAGAGACCACAGAAAACAGAAACGGAACCCTGATTCGAACCTCTCAAATCTGGAGGACCTAGGAGCCGAGCCGTTGATGCCGCCGTTTGGGGGCGTCAACGACGGCCTGGGAGTGACGAGGGACTTGGTTTTTCTGTTGGAAGTCAAGCAATTCGTCTTGGGGATGGCAACCATGTTGGGAAGTCTAGAAAGTTGGCGATTTTCCATGAAGCACCCAGGTTTGCAGGTTAGGGAGGGGGGTGACAGGCCACTTCTTTTCCCAGCCTTTCTATCCCAGTCTTGATTGTCGGGAATCTGCTTTGAACCATGGCTCATGGGAAGAGTCTCACTATTGATGACATCCAACAATGCCAGTTCTCGGCAGGGCCGAGAAAATCAAGAGTGCATGCCCTTGTCAACAATCCTTCTCTTCCGAATAAAGTTTCAGCATCTGCCACAAACACAAATCTACTGTTTTGTTGATGTTGAGTATTCCAACGCCACCCGCACAATGACAATCAATCAGGTGGGAAATGATGGCATCATGCGTTCCCTCAAATTCCGTTCAGCGAAACTGTAGTACAGGTAGCAATGACTATGATGATATTGACGACAATGAACATGATGAGACACCTAGCAACCAGAAGCACGCAGATATACTATCATGTGGGCTGGGGGTAGGGAGGTGGGGGGAGGGAGCCCAAATAAGCCGTGACCCTTATTAAGGGCTTATTTCACCTCCCCCAGCCCCATGATAATAAATCAGATCCAATTCGTCACCAAAAAAGAGGGCTGTCTCAGATGGAAGGTTTGTCAGCGCGATGACACAACATCCGGTAAGCACCAGTACCACTAGTCTCAAGGTTTGTCAGAAGCTGTCGCGGCCTTCCGTGGGATCCTGGCCTCGACTGCCGCGCAGAGGAGCGCCTGGAGGCGCGCCGGGAACTGGCCGCCGCCTGGGCCCCGGTTCCCGCGCGGAAGGCGCGGAAGCGGGAGGCGTCGCCGCAGGCGGCGCCTTGGCCGGAGACGTGGAACGGGAGTCGGGGTCGACGTTTCTTGGCTCTTCATCCGGTTCCTGGAAGTTGTTTTGAGGTTTTTGAGTCTGTTTAGTGGGTTTAGTGGTTGGGTCGCCATGGGTCGCCGTATTGAAGCCCGTAAAAATGGAACTTTAGCAGAGGATCTGAGGACCTGGGTGTGGGACCGTCTATCGTCTGTGTGCTTTGGCCACAATGGTGAACAACAAGGGCATGTTCTGATGTAAATCCAAGGCTTTTGGCGGCCAATCCAGAGCTCTAATTGGGAATCAGAACCTCGACTTGCAAAGAGCAAGGTGTGTGACCGAACGGATGCTGAACGGCATCCCGCTCTGAGTCGTGGGTGTACATTCGAATCCGAATGCGTGATGCAGTGATGCGTTGAACCTTGACCAAGGAACAGAGTACGTCTTCTCTCCCCAAAGGCTTGGACTGGAGGGTACTATATAACTACCTTAAGGTCTTCCTCACAATTTCAGCTTAAGACGCAGCGTTCTGCGAGCAAGACCCGACTCAGAAGTAGATGCAGCAAAACTGCCCTCTGATTGTGTTCCTGCTTCTCATTAATTATCACGTTTGATTTTGGCCAAGCGGAAGTGGGTGATGGCAGCTGTTCAATGCGTCTCTGTCCGTCGTTGTTTTTGTTTTTTGTCTCAAAAAGTTGGTGCATTCTTTCAGAGGTGAAGCGCACACTGATCTTCACATCTTTCAGTTTGTACCTTTTTGCAAAGGTTTGGCAGTTGACTATATAATTTAGCTATCATGAATCATGTACAGTCTTAGATTAGTCTTTGGGTCTGAAAGCAGTAGTTTGTCTTCTGATGCCATTTCACTGAGTTCCTGGCCTCCAAACTTTTTGGGAAGACCATTTTGGTGGTAACTAGCAAGTTCAGACGTGCTTGGCCCACTTAGGAAGTGAGACACAGTGACCCCGTGCAGAGTCTTCTGCACTTTCCACCAAGGAGACGCATCCCCCGGTGCCTCACAGCGCCTTCGAGCGCGCGCGGGCAGCGGAGCTTTCCCCGAGCGGCTCGGCTCGCGGGAAGGCGGCGCTGAGCATGTCTCAGCTGCTCATGTCACGGGTCGGGCAATCCCTGGGCCCGGCATAGCCAGGCGGAGCCTTGCTAGGTGCCAAACGGCAAAACAACGCCGGAGTGGGTCTCTGGGGCCCCGTTTTTTTTGTTGGTTTTTTGTTTGTTTGTTTTTTTTTTCGTGCCGGAGTTCATGGACTTGAGTCACTTGTTGGGTTTGGACAAGTTGAGTGGTAAATGAAAGGTTCGGACTTTTGGTGGCCCTTGTTGGTTGCCCTATGGCACATCAACCTGTGATTCTTTGCAACTGAAACGAGTCTGGCTACATTTGTTTTTTTGACCCAACCGGATGATCGGGGTGACACGTAGCAAGGCCTCGATGGCGCTAATGATCTCAGCAGCTGCTGTCCAGAGTCCGCGATTGGCCTCGCGCATATCAAGCCCCAAAGCCAGATCGCCTTTCTTTCGCACATCATTCTGTGGTCCATGTGGCAACAAAGGACTGCAGTTGCTGGAGCCTGCGTTTAAATCGCCGAAGGCCGATTTCACGAATGCGCCGTGCTCGCTGTAAATGAAACTGGTGCTGTATGGCCCGCCTGCGACCAGAATTCCTGAATGAAACCACTCAAACATAACATTCGAAATTGGGTATCCAGACTCTAAACCAGCAAGTCAGATTTGAGTTTCAACCTGCGCATGTTTTTTTTGAGGAAGCCTTGTCACTGAGAGCAACTTCGCCCTGCCAGCCTTGCCGCGCGCTGCGTCAGCTGTGGACAAACTGCGCAGCCGCTGGCTCGGCACGACCAAGTGGATTGCAGCCCTGAAGCAACTAGCTAAGGAGCATGTGGATTTCTTGGCAGTGACAAGTTGCACTCAAGCCGACTTGGAAAAGTTTTTTTGACATCTTCACTTCAACTAATATTATCTGAATATAACTGCCCTCAACGACATCCAGCAGTGGTAGTTGTATGCAATTAATGTTGGCGATTCACCAGATGGGTTTAGACATGCATTCTGACAATTTGGGAGTACTCCTGCTGCCAAATTCGTATCAGGATTGGTGATCCAAATGCAAAGCTTACGTAAGATTCTTAGTCAGTGGGCATGGGCATTCGTGTTAGCCTGCAGGTGTGCGCTGTTGAACTTAGTCTATTCACAACTGATACATGTTGAAGAGCATAGTGACCCAATCAGACACTGCAATACTGTGGATATGAGGTATACATATATATATATATATATATAATATACTAATATATATATATATATATATACATGTATATAGACACACACACACATGTCTCTTGTACCTTGCTTGTTGTGTTTACACAAAGTGCCAGTAGATAGAGCGGTTCCTGAGCCATGGGTCTGCATGGCCAGCTTCCTGGACTGCCCAGACCTGAAGAGGCGAGTCACTGAGTCGCCCAAGCGGGGCCAAAATGCAAATATAGAAGGCGGAAAAGAAACATGCCTGGGGCCCCCGTCTCCAGATTGTGCGTTAGGATTCCATGACTTGGAAGATCCAGGTAGACGGGAATCCAACATGCATGTCCCTGATTGGAACCTTCAAGAATGGCAGTCTCAATGGAAAATCACCAGTCAACTTGCAACTTTCGGAGGGGTCTTTCAGTGATCGTTGTAGTAGTCAAACAACCTCACCAAACAGAAGACCACCAGCAACAGGAAGGAGGGAACAGAATGAAACACACTCTTTAGGACATTTGGCCGCAATCTTGCATGTTCTGTGAGGTAAACCGCCTTGCAAGGTTCGTCTTGTCTTCCTACCAAGCCCTTGGTGCATTTTGCTTGGATGTTAGGACTTGAACTTTTGCCCACTAGGGGGTTTTCCACTAAACCACCCAAAGTCAAAAACTTTTAGCAGGGGAGCAGAAAGCGGCCGAGAAGCTCTTGGTTTCCCACGAAACAGAATAAGACATGGTTCCCCTACTAAAATAGATAACAAAAAAAAAAAGTAAAAAAAGTGGGCACCCTTCTTCTAACCTCCAATTCTGGAACGCCTAGCCACGGCCCATCGGCCCGTCGCAGGGCCAACGGCCTGGTGGCGTCCTTGGCCAAGAGCTCCCGCTGGTCGGAGCTGCTGCGTGGCTTGGCCCGGGCCCCGGGGCCCCGAGGCGATGGATTTTTCGTTCACGGCCACCTGTACTGACCTGAAATACATGGAAGCCGTGCATTTGCGACGTGAGCAAACAGCCCGGACCATTTTCAATAATGATGCAACAAGAATGCATGTTCCTTTGCTCACTTCCTGAGTTCCGTTTCGGACTTGAAACTTGTTGGGACCCGTAGAGCATGCTAGTTGCAAACAGAAAGCTCAGACTTTCTTTGACCAATCCCGTGATTTAGCTGAATATTCACTGAAGGAGTGAGGAACACGTGGCCTATTAAGGTTGCGAGGCCGAGATTCGGGGGAATGCAGAGATCTTCCTCAAGTTGGGATTAGCCAGTTTCGATGTTGTTTTTGAAACGCAGCCGTCCACATATTGGTTCATAATTTTCCTGTGTTGCGGGAACGGAACGACTCTTGTTTTTTTTGTTTGTTTTCACACTATGGATGATCCAACACGTGGTGGGACTCCATTTTTAGCTGTCCTCATTTAGAGTTGTCTTAGTCCAGTTTCCTGCCATTGAAGATGGAGCACGTGCCTATATAGTTTTGCCACTGCTTCATGAGCCGCCCAAGGCTTCAAAGGGGAGCGCGAGCCTCGAATGTTGAGGGAAAGAGAGAGAGAGAGAGAGAGAGAGAGAGAGAGAGAGAGATAGAGAGAGAGAGAGAGAGACATGTCACAAGTGGAGTCGGCCCCGCCAAATGGTTGGTTCTGAATCAAAACGGACGGGGATGGCCACAGATGCCATTGTGACATGTTGAACTTTCTCATTGGCCTGTCGTCTATAGTTGTTTTTGTCTCGACTGGCTGAGCAAGGTTCTGGTCCCTTGGTGTCGGGCCGAAAGGCCGATCCAATGCCAAAAACTGAACTGTTCAGATCTCAAATGACTCAAATGTGGCCGATTGCAACAGTTGGTGGATCTAAACATGGGGCATCCGAATTATTCTCCAGGCAACGTTCAAGCTGATCTGTAAAGGAGACGGAGCATGAGAGGGACTTGCCCGCGCATCTTGGAGTTTGGACTCTCTTACAGGCTGTACCTGAACGCTCTCCGCACACACACTCCAGCTGCCTCTGCCTTTTTTTCCCGCAACTGCTGAGCTGTCCTGTGTCACGTGCATTTGCCTGTTTGAGCCTTAAACTCAACCAACAGAGCAACTTCCGTCCGTTTCCTTCTGGCCACTTGCCCAGTAGATTGCATGTTGGGGTCCTTCTGGGCGATCATTGTAAAGCCCCTATGGTGAAAGCTGGCCCTGCAAAGGGGAAGGCAGGATGAGCCTCTTTTGACCACCTGTCGATTGAAAAAACCAGGGAGAACTCAAAACAGATGCCCAAGGGTTCCCATTATGCTGCTTCCGGGGGAGGTCATTTTTTCCCACTCAGCAAGACCTTCCCCCTTGCTCCCATTTGCTTAACATGTAAAAACAAATCCCCTGTTGGTTTTAACGGGAAATGACAAGACATACTGTTTCCAGACTTCAGCAAATGGACGCTTGGGCCCCCCGCTGAAGCCTCGCCGGTCGCCCGGCCTTGCCGGCCCGCGCCGAGGCCTGGAGCCGGGAGCTGAGGATCTCTTGACCGCGTCGGAGTGTTTCGGGCCAGCCATGGATTGGTGGTCCATGTTGCAGCTCGGTTTTCTTTTGACGCCCAAAGAGAGGTGTTTTTGTTTCTCGTGTTTTCTCTCTCTTCTTATGAGGCAGACTCAATTCCGCGGGCATGAGGCATCAAACCTGGTGCTCCGAGCGTGTGGCGCTTGCTGAGGCCAAGTGTGGTGACCTTTGGAGTTGCAATCACCGGCTGCAGCAGGTGCCTCGAGTCGAGACTGCACCTTCCATGTCGCGGGCTTGTTCCGTGCAGCGGGAAGGTCGGGGGCAAATCGTGCGTTTCAAACGAAAAACAAGAGGAGGGAAAACAAGAGATATGAATACTGCGGTAGACGAAACCCTGCACCACTTTGCATCCATGGGAAACCACTCTTTGTTGGCATTTACGAGGGAATCATCAGAAACCAGGGTTTCTGAACGGTGGTGCGAGAAGCGGATTTCGCAAAAACAATAAAATATAAAACGACAACGCACATTGTGAGTGCTGAAAGGTAAGTTGATTATGAATTACTTTGGACCAAAACGCCTCAAAGGCCAACACGTCGCTCCCCCCCACGTAGATACGACGTAGCTCCCAGTCCTTTGCTCGCTTACGTAGATCCGCGCTCGGCTTCGGCGAGGGCTTCGGCTTGGTGCGCGGCCGCGCGCTTGGCGGAAGTGCTGCTGGAGGTAGGTGTGGAGTGAGGGGCTTAGCGTCACCACGGTGAGTGCCCTCAGGCGACATATGATGCGGAGCCCCCAGGTTTGTTTTGTTTGTTTGTTTGTGCGGGGGTTACCCTCTGTGTGGTCCCCTAAAAAAGACACCCATGGACAACTTATAAGGAACATTTCAAGAACCTTTCTTTTTTTGGGACGGGGAGCGTTGGACCTGAGTATCGCAAAGTAGTGGCGTAGCGGAACCAAGAAACCCTGCAATTGCCACTACTTTCCAGGGCTTGGTGGCTGGACCACTTGCAAGTTGTAGGGAATCAACCATAGGCACGTTGGCAAGTGGTTAGGGGTCATTAATTATCGCGCACTCAACCCACTTTTTTGAACGTTGTAAGTGGGTTACGTGCTTACTCGACGCTTGCTGAGCAACATATGCCATACAAGTATGTAGCCAGTTCGCACGACATGCGGTTGCATTCTGCCATCGAATCTCCAGGTACCTGTGGGACTAGTGCTGTGTTGCTTCTGTTCAGCTGATTAACGTTTATGATGCGCACTCGTGAGAAGAAGCAGAACAGTTTACCCTCCAGGCGGTTCCATGGAAGATCCCGATCAGAGCCCAAAATGGACAACGTTCCGTTTACAAAGGCCTTCTTGGAGCTTCCACCTTTGTTTGTTGTCTGTTTGTTGGTTTTTGCTTGTTTGGTTTAGGTGGTTGTTGTCTCCGAAGAGCAATCTGGCAAGCCCAATCATTTGCCTGGTGCGAGCGAGCCTCGCGAGGCCCAGCGTGATCAGCGCCACCTCGGCTGTTAGCACGTGCCGGCAGCTCAACGACTCCTCACTGTCAAGAAGTTGGTCGGTGGATTCCACCCTTGTGGTGGGTTTCCTACCTAAAAATGGTCAACCTCAAAGGGTTGTTCTACCAGGTTCAATGGGCAACTGGGAGAATGCTGCTCCGATATGCGAATAGCACATGAAATTGGATGTGTACAGAAAACTTCTTCCTCTGGATGTTTTCTTTCTGAACCCTTTCGGTCAACCATGCCAGTGACGCCAGTTAGCTGTGAGGCGAGAAGAGCAGCGCCTGGCAATGCGCAGTGCAATCATTGAATGCTCGGTGCTCAGACCAGTGAAATGCCCGAAAGCCTTTCAGCTACCCGGAGTCTCCATGACCCTTCAAAAATGGGGTCATTACCAAAAATAATGGGGTCATTGACCCATTTTTAGAGGGTCATGGAGACTCCAGCTACGCTCATGCGGTGTTGGTCAAGAGCACCGCATGTCAGTTGAGGTTCACTTCGAATTAATCCAGAGGACAACACTACTCCGAAGAATCCCCTTACTTGATTTGATTTCCGACTAAAAGGGGAACCAGCCCTGGCTCCTGATTCATACGCTCTATTGTCCTCCAGGTCAATCCGAAGTTGACATTACCATTGTGGTAGCAAACTAGCCTTCTCATCTAGAGTTTATATGACTGATTATTTCGCCTGCATTGCATTGTTGAATGGAATCACTGGTCACGTGGGGATGCTTGCAGACTGCAGGATCTGTCACTTCGTGCCTTGTCAGCATCCTGGCGCTGCCTGGTTTCCCATCGCAATCGAAGCTCTTTTTTGGTGTAGAACAGTTAACTCCAGCAAATGAAGGACCAACATATTCTCCTTCACAGAAGGATCCTGCAGATCCACGAACGTTTCAAATTGTGTAAAGGCCGAGAGCTTTTTTTGAGAGTCGAGCTGTGCAGGTTTTCACGACCAGCATCCCCAGGATTGGCAATTTCGGAGTGTTAGGCGAGCAAGAGGTGACATGAGGCCCCTTTACCATGTTGGCCCACGTTTAGTCAAAGTTCCAAGAGATTACCCTCCCTCCAAGAATCCTAGAAGCTGACTTCCTTATTTTGGGAGCACCCCCAGAACCCACTTCCATTGGAAACAGGAAACCTTTCTCAGATCCAGGTGCTTTGGGCAAGGAGAGCCTGCACCAAAATTAGTGTATTTGCCGAGGGTATCAACTTGTTTGGTTGGCTTACAGCAAACACCACATGGAAACCGCCTGTTTGGAGGGTTCCCTACTGTAGATGGACGAAATTCCGCACCAGTTGGAAACCATGGTTAAAACCATGTACGTTGGGGAATCGAGTCGGTGCAGCTCAATCCCCGCGTTGCTGGGCGTTGTACTTTGTGGGTTTGGACCATTTTAGTGGAACATAATTTAGGCAAAAAGTTTGGACTTTTCTTGGGCCATCCACTCGGGCAGTGAGGCTGGATTTTGTCCATCCACAGCATTCGAGACAAACCCAAATTCCACCGCCCCAGGCAGCCTGGAGCCCAACATCGTGGGCTTTGGCGCCGTGGCCGGGCGCCCAAAATCGAGTCACACCTCGCTGCCGAATTGGGCTCCGTCGGCTTCTTGCGGCTCAGAACCCGCCTTTTGGTGGGTTTCAAAGGGAAACTCAAAGGACACCACCCTTTTTTTTTGGGGGGGGGAGGGGTTCCCCGCTTTGGTGGGTGTTGAGGGGAAACCCGAAGGAAATCACATGTTTTTTTTTGGGGGGGAGGAAGGTTCCCCAACAATGAGACCAATCCAAATTTGTAGTTCCCCAAACCGCTGGAGGTTTGGCATTTGTTCGAGAGCCAAGTCAAAGAGCAAGTGTGAACGGGCTCGAACATGCTTGGACATTTGTTCAGCCGGCCATCACTGTCCATTTTGTTGCTGGGTGAACAAATTGATTGAAGCTTTCCAACAAAAATGCAGTCTGCACCATTCGGACATCAGATTTCGGGGGAACATTGCAGGCTGTCCAAGTGGGATCACAAAGAACATTTTGCAATGGGGCCCTCGGGGTTTGGAACAAGAGACTTACACATGCAGCAACGCAGCGCTTGCCCATAAGTTGCCACGCTTTGCGGTTGGTTTGAGCTTGCAACAAGTCACGATGTAAATAAACACAATCGATATACATGCCGATGTTAAATAATTCCTCAAACTGCTTCTCATCAAGTGGAGTTTCAGTAACCTGGTAAAGTGCCCGCTGCCTTCTGTGCCAAATGGTGGAAAGTATCTTGTGTTTAGTAGGTTCCATGTTTCGAACCTGCTGCTTTGCATTTTGTGTCGGTCTTGCGACGCCGGTCCATCGCATGTGCTTGGCAGGATGTTGTGTAGGTTGCTGCTCGGTTGTATTGTTGCTCGAGCAGGCGCTGCTTGTGCCGGTTGGTCGTTTGTCTCTGCCGGTTGTGAGTTCTGACCGGTCTCAGCAGTCGGTTGTCCATCGCGGTGCGATTTTGTATTTGTGTGTTCCCTCTAGTTGTAGTTGTGGTTGTTGTGGTTGTCGTGGTTGTGGTTCTAGTTGTGGTTGTGGTTGTGGATGCCGTTGTCATTGTCGTTGGCGTTGTCGGTGGCGTTGCCGTTCCTTGCTGTGTTGCGCTGTATGCTGTATGGAAAAGCCGCCAAATCTTTCCAAGGTGTGTGTGTGTGTACTTGTGCAAGGTCACTGCTTCGCTACAGTGTTAAAATGAATGCTTACTTACCTGTGAAGCGTGTGATTGCCTGAAACCCGTGTGCGGCAATATGTAGCAAAGCTCGAGGCCGAAGCCGAGATGTAGCAGGTGCACATGATGCACAGGGGCTACTGTGCGATGTACTTTTACAACATTGGAGTACCGCCCAACCAAGAAGGAGTTCAACTCACATTGGCCCAACAAGTGTTACTTGCAACCACAAAGCGGGAAATATAGGAAACCCACAACTCCACATAGCAATGTTACAATCCCCAGACATCTCATGTAATGCGCGGATATAACAGTTGCGCCATGAGATGTCACCAGTCCGCGTGGGGCCACACGATCCGCTCTGAGCTTTGCCAGCGCGCTTGGGCCACAGACTGACTGACTGGCTGCCTGAGCTCGTCCAATGTAAACTTAACCTCCAGGCGCGCAAGACGCCTGTCAGGCAGCCATCGCCCAAGCAAAGCCCCTGTTTGTGGCTCCCTTCAGACACCAAGCCGGGCAACATAGGTGGACAATCAGCCATACTCCATGTGCGCAGCTACAGCGCTTCGTCTTCACACAGGTTTTAGGCAATCACACACTTCTGATGCGAGCGTTCATGTTAACAGCAAATACCCATAAATATGTTAATATACTATATTCGTATATCTAATATATAGTGTATATATACATATATATATATGTATACATAATCATAATAATAATAATAATAATAATAATAATAATAATAATAATAATAATAATAATAATAATAATAAATAACAATACCAATAGTAATAGTAATAATAATAATAACAATAATAACAATAATAATAACAACAATACATAGGTATAATAATAAATAATACTATTAGTAAGACAATAATAACAGATATTAATAAGAACAATAATAATAGATACCAATGATAATGATGATACTGATAATGATAATGATCATAATAATGATAATAATGCCCGTTATACCTGTATCTCTCTATACATGTTTTGCGTGTGTATACATATGTACATATATATACATGTATATTACATTTATATCAATATGTTTATGTGGTTCAAGCTGCTGGATCCATTCTTGGCTGGCCCAAAGGCAACCCCCCGTCGCCAGGCCAGCGCCTGCGAGAAGGCCGGGGGCTTCTGGCGCCAGGCGGCCCAGCAGCTGCAGTCCCTGCGCAGGCGGATGGACTCGACGATGATTTCTTTGGTGCATTTTGCTTGGATGTTAGGACTTTAACTTTTTGCCAACTGATGGGTTTTCCATTAAACCATTAAAAGTTAAACTTTTAGCAGGGGAGCAGAAAGCAACCGAGATTTTTCGGCGCGTCGGATTTGCGGTGACCGGGGCATTCTTCGGCGGTTCATGGGCAATTCTGGATTCTTACTTGTGAGGGTCGCCTTTGTTCATAGGCCATTCTGATTTCCTTGCCTTGTGAGGGGTCCCCTTTGCTGCTTGTGGTTAGGGATGATGGTTTGGGATTGGCCAACCATTTTGAGTTTTGAAGCCAAGCTTGGGGTTCTCGAAAGGTGGACTGGACAATTTGTGGATATTTTTCTGTTGAATGAACTTGGGGATTCTTTCGGAGGAGTGAACACGGGATTGCTCATAGGGATCCTTCATTCTCCACTCGCTGAGAGGGTGAAGGGAGGGTATGGGGGGCCATAGCTCCCATCCGTTGGGAAAAGTAATTCTCAGTCCTCCTGGAAGGTTCGGCTGGCGGACTGGGGCTAGGGGGGGGAGTTTGACCACATCATTGGATGGTTGTTAGTTTGATAGTGTCGGTGACCAGTTCGCAAGAACCAGCTATAGCTTCGACTATGATCCTGGATAGCAAGTGGAGGCCCACAGCCAAGGCCCTTTCAAGTTGAGGTGTCAAAGGGAGGTGTTTTGGACAAAAAAAAAAGGAAGCAAACCAACGCGCAGACCATTTTAGAGAAGGTTCGACGCACGGAAAGGGTTGCGATATTGGATGTTAGGGACATCGGAAGCGAAGCAACTACTGCATTCTTGCAAATTCTGGGGAGATGGTCAATGTAATTTCGCACATCGCTCCAACGCAGTACGCCGTGTCGCATCGGGGTCACAACCACATGCATTGTCCCAAAAGGGCAACTAAAGCCTTTTTCCATCATGGCAAAGCTGGAGGCCTCCCCATTTCTTTTGGTTTCTTTGCAAAACCGGCCGCACAGCTTGGCGGCTTGACCGCTCCGGACAGGAGGGGCATCCAGGTCAGCTTAGTGCTCCTCAACGCAGTGAGCTCTGCGTGCGAGAAGGCCTCCCTTTGCGTTTCGCTTCGTTTGGATCGTCGCGTCAGCTGAGCCTCGGTGGATTTGGACCTTTCAGCGGCCCCCGTCCCACAGCCACCCCCGAACATCTCTTTGTTCAAGCTGATCTGTTTTTCCATGATAAGCAGTGAATCTATTCCATGTTACCGCCACCTTAAGCAATTACGAGCCAAGGTCAAAGGCTGAATACCTGCATCCGGAGTTCTTCGGAGATCGCAGATGTCACACCTGTTAGCAGTTTGAGCTCTGGTAAAGGAGCATCGGCGCACGATTCCTTTTACAGGAGGCTCGGTGAGGTGCGGTTTCAAGGGCGGAACTCACCCATGAACCCAACGAAGTCACGGGCCAAACAGTTTAGAGTGCTTGCAATGATTGAACACAGCTGTCAGATACATCATGACACCGCTATGGGCAAAGTTGGCCAATTCTAAAAGCAGGCAGGCCCAATCAGGGATATTTGGATTTTCCCACATTTCAAGGGCAGCTGGGGCCCCCGTTACAACAATGGTTATGAACTACTTTGGGGTCCCTCCAAAGTTACGTTATGTGTTACGGCTGCTTACCTATGAACCAACATCTGAACATGTTTGTTTTGCGGCCCCAGACTTGGGCCAAGTACTCGCTTGGCTCGAGCGGAACTTGTCGCAGGCCTGCGCTTCAGGCACTGACGGCAGGCGGGGAAGCCTTGCCAGCTGGCTGGCTGGCTGGCTGGCTGGCTGGCTCATTTGCTGCCCTGTGTGGTTTTGTTTCTTACTTTTGTTTGGGGCAGCTTCAACTTTTGGAAAGGCCCGTGTCAGCGCTCTGAAGTTGCCCCTGGCGATCCACATGTTGGAAGTGTTTTTTGTTTTTTTTAAGGATGGACGCTTGCTTCCGCGAATAAAGTGCATTCGTGCTTTGATCCGGGCCTTTCTGGTGATTCGGTGCAGACGACTCTCTCGCCAATTTGGGTCGCCAGTCAGAAGATGCAAACGAGGATCCGCCGAATTCGTGTCGCTCCTTTGCACATGAGCGCTCACATGTTTGTATAGCAAACTGTTCGGGGCTGTTTGAAGTTGTAAGCAGCTTATCCTCCGGAAGGGCCAATTGCACATCACTAAGGGAGACCACGGTTTGCTACACCCAAATGCGGAGCTCTTTCGTGGACATGGGTTACTTGGGAGCTTATGTCCACCAGCCATGAGGTTTGTCAGTCCTGTGTTGAAACATTAGAGTTTGCGCAAGAGTGTGTTTTAAATGTTAAAACCCCAGAGCCTAGCGGGTTCTAAAACCGCATGCTTGTGTTTGCTTAACACAACACAACCCCAAAAATCAGTGTGTTGAACACCCCACTCTGTTTTGTATAGAGCAGCAGCCTGCCCAATGTGTTGCTTGAAAATAGAGCAGCCCAATGGCGGACCCGGAGATATTTGGCTCTGGGTCAAAACCAATGGTACCAACCAATGGTACCATTTTGGGGTAGGTGCACCACTCATTTTAGAGCCTATTTTAGTGGGGATTGGGATGTGCACTGGGGGAGCGATTTGGGTTTTGACCCATGGCCATTTGTTGGGTCCACAACGATCCTTTCGCCACCTGGCAGCCCCTGGCAGCTTGGCATCTCGCTGCTGGCCCTGGCGCCAAAGCTGAAGATGCTGCCCGCGCCTCGACTCGGAGCGAGCGATTGAGCCGCTGGGAGGGGGTCCTTGTCAGGAAAGCCATCAAACAGCATTAAAAGCAAGCAAACAAACAAGCAATAGCGGAACGCGCCGACACCATGCGACCGCCCCCAAAAAAACACAAAAGTTGCTCCTGTGTGTGTCCACCTTGGTAGGGGCTGCGCAGTCGCTTGCATTTTGGAAGGCCAGACGCGGTGTCCCACAACGCTGCCATCAGCGCCTGTGAAAAGGTAGGCGCCTGGGAGCAGGCGGGGTGTGGCCAGCGGCGTCAGCTTGGCGAGAACTGCCCCTGGCGACTTCGGGGGTGTCTTTTGTTCAGCCCAAGGTAGACCAAACCAGGGGAGCTGATTCCCCCCCCCTCCGCCCCCAAATTCTTGGGCCAAGCAGAGGAGCTGATTTCCCCCCAAGTTTCAGGGCCCCAAAGTCACTCGCCGCCCGGTTTTTTGGGGGGGCAGCGAGCGCCCGAAGAGTCCCCACTTGGCCGAAGGCACTGGACCTGCTCCAGGACCTGAGGCCTGGCAACTGAGCGGTTTTTCGGGTTGCTGATACGAGAGACTGAAGAACGACAAAACGGTAATGTTAACCCCGGATTAATAAGCCCTGGTTGATTAATAGGGGGTGTCTCCATTTAGTCGTGGGGGTTCATCACTTTTGGAGAGAACACCCCCCTAATAATGGGACGGGTTTATTCATCCTGGGTCAACACTATTTTCACCATGGTCATGACTTAACTTCGCGTACGGTAGCCCAACCTTTCTCGTTGTGATTATTTGGCCCCCCTCTGTTGGACAAGATCCCCCACCAGTTAAAATAAATAAATAAATAAAAACACGCATGAGCTCTGAGAGCGGGGAGAGAAAGAGAGAGAACCTACCAGCTGGTGCAGAGTGGACTTTGTCCATCCAGAGTATGACTGGATCAATCTGAACCCTGAAATGTGATTGGTGATGTAGATGACGTGCACCAAATAGCCCCCAAATAGGAATCATGACCACTATAGTTGTACTGGCGTGCACCCCGGAGGCTGTATTTGTGGGGTTTCCCTCAAGGACAGGGAAGCCAAACAGGGATTGGGTGAATGTTCCATTTGTCCAGATCCTCTACTTGATCCACTGTATTCCGAATTTGCTGCCAAACCATACCCCCCTTTTTCGGCGATACTCATTTTTTAGGGCCCGGTTTAGGGGGTGCAGCTTTAGGGGTGCCTGCCTGACAGAAGCCCATGAGTTTCAGACTGTTTTTTCCGGGTTGCCATGTAGTTGTTGTTTTTTTTGTTTGACGAAAGCCGCCCAAAGTGCTTTAATGGGCTGTGTAAAAATCAATCGTGGCGGTCTTGGAGTGTTGGTTCAAATCAGCAAACTGGCCGAAGACCGAATGATCACCCCTTGTGACTTGCATTCATGTCAAGCCTTCAGCAAACAAGTTTTTAGTTTATGGGCTCAACAAAAACTCATGATTTAGCGCTTTTGGTATATGGGGCCTAACAAAAAGCCGATCCGCTGGGGTCCAAGAAATCCAACATCAGCTTTGGGCCAATTCAAAGTGAGTTTCCTTTTGTGGTGATGCTTAGAGGGAACATATAGAGCGAGTCCTGTCAACAAAATCCAACACTTGCTGGGGTCATGGGGAGTGACTTTGATCATGGTTGCTTGGCGGCTCCCAGCCGTCCCCAGAAAGGTTGTAATACTTTTAGGGTTTAGGGGTTTCCATGCACTCCGCCAAAGGTTGAACTTCCCAGCATCCGCTTCGTTTCTTTAGGTTTCAGTTGGTTTGTCCGATGTTTTCTCCCACTCAGAGTTAGCACACTTTTTGGCAGATCAGACGACTGACAGAGGCATCCGGTCGGATTAGTAACCACGGCAAGGTGTCCGATTTTAGCCCGCTCAGAGTTTGTCACTTGTTTTTTTCAGATCGTTTAGTGGTCAGGTGTCCAATTTTTTCTCCCACTCAGAGTCAGTCGCTTGTCGCAGATCAGACGACCGACAGCCGCAGCTCGGATGGCGCCAGGAGGTTGGGACTCCTGAGCACCTTGTCCTTCAACGCTGCCATCTCCGCCTGCGCCCGGACCTTCCGCTGGGACTTGGCCCGGAGCCTCGGCGCGATGGGGGAAGTCCTGCTACATTTGGTTGCACAACCAGCTCCAGGCGTTGCTGCTGCGGGAGGACCTCGCCAGCTGTGGGCCCGGAAGCTCAAGCGGAAGAACCCAAGACGGAAAGGAACACATCTTCCGAGCTCGGAAAGAGTTGGGATGCATGTCGATTATACCCTCCCCCAGACTAACATGGAAGATCCTTTGGAAGACTTGGTGCACTTGACAGAGTATAGTGCCTGATGGCAGAATGAAGCAGGCAAAAGAGAGTGCGCCAAGACATTCACCTGGTCTGCCAATGCTGACGCCTTTCTCCTGAGGCTGCAGCCAGATTTGATCACCTACAGCTCACTGATCAGACCCTTAGCTCCAATCAGGAAGCTGATGTACGCGCGGGTGAGGATACTCCAGAGGAAGTTGCTGGTAACTGGTGGCTTTGTCTGCGTGTGTTTGTGTGTGGTTTAGTTTGTGTTTTGCTTTGTGTATGTGTGTGTATTTTGTTTGTGCCTATTGATCTTGGTTTGGGGAGGGCCTGTTTTGATAAATCTGGTCACATGCCAGTCGATTCATTGGCGACGGGTGGGAGTTTCAAGCCGCTTTTTTGGCCCACACTCCAAATCTGGTCCGCAAAGTGGCACTCATTTTGGACCACGCCAGAAGCAGAGCTGCGAACCGAAGCAGCTCCCAGACTCACACAGTGTGCATATCTTGCGCAACGCCAATTCGACCGTATCCAAACAAAACCAAAGGGATCGAAGCTGGGCCCATTCTCGGCACTCGATGACATGCTCGCCGCCCTCCGCGCGGTGAGGCGCTTGTGAGAAGGGCTTAGTATGGCGGCGCGCCCTCGCCATCTTCTCGGAGACTTGGCCGCGGATGGTCCTGGGGTCGTTGTTCTTGTTTCTTCTTTGTGGAAAAGGCTGGACCTTCACCCAAAATAAAGGCACTGGGCCCAATTAGGCCCTTTTCTGTTTTGTTTTCCTCGTTCAACATTACCTCATCAAGGGGAAGCTTATTTGAACACATTTCAACCAGCAGGTGATGTTCAGGATGACTAGTGACTGGAAAGTCAACACACGGAGTGGGAGATTCCACGAAGATTCCTCCCCTAGCCATCCACTGCTTCATTTTGTGTCTACCCTCTGTCAGCGGGACTTCAAAAGAAGCGATGTGGAGTAATTAATCAGAATGACTTGTTTCACAACAGGACTCATTAATGATTGTAATAAGGGAATGGACTTTTGAGCCTTGCCTCACAAAAGGTACGATGGCATGCCGGCCAGCAAGAATGGCTCATGTGGGGACGGTTTGCCAAATTGACCAAAGCTCAGGCCAGGCAGAAGGCTTTTGGCTTGGAAGCTCGTAGCCTTGTTATTCTTGCATGACTTGGATCGAAAAGCTATGTTCCCTTTCCACTTCATCGCCCAAAGCTCGGGTGCGTCTCAATTTTGGAAAGCATGCCGGCCTGTTCCCACATTGGGACAAATGCTGATGTTGCCTTCTTTTCGGCATTTGTCTTGCCATAACGCTTTGGTCCAGTTCCCCTGTGGCTGTTGAACGCCCAAACCGTTGACAACGGCCGTACCTGCCGGCCACCTTCCAAAACCAGCCCGAGCACTGGCTCCCCGGCTTTGTCCAAGTCAGGAAAGGCTCGAGGTCAGAATTCTCAAATCATGCTGGCAGCAAAAGACCCTTCTACCCCTTCCGGAAACTCAAAGGAGGTGCTCTGAAGGTGTTGCTGGTGTTCACCTCATTCCTCTCCCGGGAACAAGACCACACCGAAAAGCTCCGGCAAGGAGCTCTCATGGGGCGAAGACCCGGGGACGGGCAAGCGCGAGGCGGTCAACAGGGTGCTTTGGCCGAGGGAGGAGGGTGGGGCCAAGCACGTCAACCGCAGTCGTCATGATGAGTGCAGTGGTAGAGTCTTGACGTTATGAGGTTGTGCTGAATAATCCAGATCGCCACGCCTTCGTCTACACAAGATTGGCTCGATGCAATTCAAGGGGACACGCAATGGACTCCCCCTCAACCTTTGGGCTCAATTCAAAGATTGGATGCCTGCTGAAGCTGAAGCATTTGCATTGGTTCGAACATGTTGCAGGATGCCCTCGAAACGATTGTCTTGCATTTGTAGGGCCGACAGAGATCTTACCCGTATAATAGTATAGACACGAACCTGTGGACTGCAAACAGGGTGGCTGCAAAGCATGCAGTTCAGCAACAAGACACTTCATGTGACCAGTGGTATTTGCATTGTCCGCGGTTTGTTGATGGTGACAGCATAGTTCAGCATAATGCATCTTCCATGTGTGGTGTTGCAATTTTCACACATTCACTTTCAACCTCCGCCCCAACCCCAATTCAAACTAGCCACCGCTTCCTTGGGGCTGATTTTGTTTAGCCTAGGGCCCGATCTATCCACAAGTTCCTGTGGTTTCTGGAAGCAGGTTTCACGAGTGGTCGGGTCACTTGGTACGGCCTGTCCGGTTAGGGCATCAAACCTGACCTGGTGCTTTGCAACGCCGTGATCAGTGCCCCAAGCTCAGATGGTTGCATGGCACATGGCTCTGGGTCAAAATCCCGGTTATCCCCCTGTGAACATCCCAATCCCCACAAAAATAGACGAAAATGGGTGGTGCACCTACCCCACAATGGTACCATTGATTTTGACCCACAGCCACATGGAGGTGGACACCGACATGACATGTCCGCCAATCACTTTGGAGGGACCCGCTTCCCTATTGAAGTTCATAGCCATTGGCCTAGATATGGTCCCAGGCTGCCGTGAAACGGTTGGCCTCTTGAAACAAACCTGAACATGGAGTCCTGAAGTCCGCTGTTCTTGGGCACCTTTATAGAAGGCTGGTTCACAAGGCCACGACCCTACAAAGAAAATGCCCAGCTCGTCATTTGAACCATTCCTGGTGGACTTTGTTTGGTGAGTCCACACACAAAATCAGTTGTGCAAGAAGGCGACTTCTTGATCTGAAAGCGGAGTCTGGAGGGACAGCTTTGCCGTTTTGATTATTTGCCAGACACGGTTCACCTGCTTGACATGATGTTCAACTTTGAACCAGTGCCTCCCTACAAATCAACATGGAACCCAAAGAGGGAGTCCCCCCAAAAGGACCACCCTCTACAAATGGGTTTGTATTTTGTGGGTTCCATATCAATCTGTAGAGGGTCACATATGCAGCCAGAGGCCTGCGAGAAGGGCCAGCAGTGGGAAAAGGCGCCGCCAGAGTCTGCGCGATCGATACATTTCGCTGGTTGGGTAAAGGCTCTGTGAGGAGTGTAGGTTGGCCTGTGTTCAGTTGGGTGTGCGTGCAGTGGGATGGGTGGAGTATGTGGGGTATGTGGGGTATGGGTATGGAAAGAAAGCAAGAACATGGGTATGTCGGTATGTCCTTCTTTGGAGTTGTTTACCCCTTCTTTGGTTGTTTTAAAGGGAAGCAAAAAGGAAAATCACCAGTATGAGGGCTCCCGCAAAAAGAGACAGACCCACATGGCAGGGTACCTGAGATCTGTAAAGAAATGACTGTTCATTTCCAGCTTCTCCAAATATGGACCGGAACCAAACATGGTGGTTTGTGGGGTACGACCTTTCTACAGTAGTTTTCCAAGAAGGATTATGGATTTGGATTGAACAGCCCAGTCAACTGTAGAATTGGGACCAACAGGCGGGCCAGGAAGAAGATCCACAGAAGTTGTATAGAGCTGTGCGGCTGCTGTATTGTTTGTCACAGCTTATTTGGAACGGTGCGATCGTGCATTTTTGTGTTCAGGGGTTTCCCTTCTTGCCTTTAGCGGCAAGTGGAGGCAGCGGGCACTGTTCCTAAGTTCATGTTCTTTGGTTGCAGTTGATGCTGTTCATGTTGGGCGGGGGCTGCAAAGAATTATCCATACTCTACGGCAACGCACGGTTGGGAAGACGAGACGTGTTGCTTTTGTGGCTGGTTTCTCTTGGAGTTGATGTTCGATGCTGCGTGTCTTGCTCATCTAGCCTTTCGGAGAGGGACATGTTCTCGTCTAGGGTTGCCGACGTATCCCTTGCCTCAGAGGGATGAAAGATGGACTTTAGAAGAGCAAAGGAGGACGCCGCCAGCGCTCTCTTGAAGCATTGGCTTCTCGCAGGCCTTGTGGCTCGTCATGACCTTGCGCAAGTTGGGGCCTTCGCCTGACGCAGTCAGCTACAGCGCCGCGGGACCCTCGGGCGGTGCAGATCTTTGGGCTTTGGAAACGCGGCACACAAATTACTTGTTTGGCGCCGGTCCTTTCGGCTGCCAGGTTCCGTAAAAACCCACGGCAGGACGTTCCCTTGCCATGTCCTGTGCATGTACATGCGAGCCACAGTTAGTTTGCTGCCCCTCACCACTTGGGATGACGCAGAAGGAGCCACACTGAAGAGGCCAGTGGATTTCTCAAGTATCCCACCCGCCCCAAAGACTACCCGCCACTGTGCCATGTTTCCGTCTCGCTCTAAACACAAAGGGGGTCCCCCAACAAAAGACACCCATGTTTCGCCTTTCTGTTTCTTAAACAACCAGCCCCTGACGGGGTGCCATATTTGGGGAACTAACAGAAGGGGCTAAACAATTCCGACAATTCTCTTATGATCGTGATACTCTTGGGGGGTGTAACGTACCCCACGACCCAGTTCTGGCTATTCAGGCTCCGGGCCTTATAGTGGGTGAGCTCCTGCACCTCATGGTTTCGATTTGTGTTTGGGGAAAGCACATCTATCCAGGTGCGAAGTGCATGATTCTACGGGAACTTAGTCCAAAGCTTTCCTGCAGAGTTTGCTGGATTCGTTCAGAGCCCCGTACCCATGTGTGGATTGGTCAAAAGACACCTTTACTTAAACTTTACTTGGGGTTAGCAATCGAATCACAGTGGTGCAAAATGGTGGTGCAAAATGGATTTGCACAATGGATGGTGGTGCAAAATGGGTTTCGTATCCATCCACAGTATTTCGCACAAATATGAGGAACCACGAAAACACCTAAGGGATGCATCCACCTGGACAGGATCCTTAACCATTAAATTGGTTCCTATATACTGTGGATGGACGAAATCCTGCACCATTTAGAAACCATGGTTGACACCAGTACGTTGGTTGGTATTTACGGGGGAATCGAATCATTTGAGTGTTTCTGAACGGTGGTAGCCATGACCACTCATCATTTCGCCCAGGCCATCAGCGCCTGCTCCAAATCCGCGTGGCCCTGGGCGCTCTGGCTCTTCACCCACGCAGGAGGGCAGCCTTGCGCTCCGATTGGAGTTGACTCAAGCCACGGCTTGCCAGCGGAATTTGCTATCCAAACCGGGTAACAGTCTGGTTTCCGGTAGCTAAATAGGACATTCAAATCTTCATGGTCTTCCCTAAAGGAAGACAAACAACGGTGCAGTTTGGAGTTTTGTCCAAAGCCGTCCTATCTAGCCAAGGTTGATTTGTGTGCGTGCCAAAATAGGAGGACCACAGAAGTAGTGGTTTCCTTTTGGTTCTCCTCAACCACCACCTAAGGGTGCCCTCAAAAAACGACACTGGCGTTCAGAACCCCTGGTTTTGATGCGATTTCTCAACGTAAAAACCCGCAAACCAGATGTTTCAACCATATAATTAGTCTCCTTTGGTGCGATATTTTTTGCGGATTCCGAACACCACCATCCCCAGTATGTAGAAGCTGAGGCTGCGGCATGGCGCTAGCTGGGCGGTTGCACCCTCCCAGGAGATGTGACACTGCCCGCGGCCAGCGCGGCCTTGGGCGCCGTGGCGCGCGCCAGGAGGTGGCAGGCGGGGGGACCTGGAGCCTGGAGTCGGTGCGACGGACTCGGGTGGTCTTTATTTCGTTTCTCCGGACGGTTCCCTCTTTAACCACAAAAAAAGGGTGCCCTCGAAAAAGACCGGCCTTACGGCACAATTGAAGCTGGCGAGCGCCCTCCGACACATGGGGCAGGTGGCGCTCGCCTTGGCAAGCCTCATGCGGCAACGAGGCACGAGGGGCGTCGGCAGCCGGCCGGCTTGCTTTTCCCAAAGTCATCTAGGCACCTTGGCGGTTTGCAGCCATACCCTTCGACTTTTTAGTTTTAGAGTTCAAACGGGTTTTATGACACATCCCACTCAAAGTTCAAGTTTTAGCAAGAGATCAGCAAACCACAAAGGTTTGCCATTTTGGGAGGGCATCCTTTTGGGGCAACCACGCTGAGGGCGGTTCCCATTGGAGACATGGGCCATTGGGGTCAGCGGCTCCAGTGGACAGAAGTCCGAGCTTGGCTCAACCCCCCTTTGATCAGCGTAGACAGCGACTCTACTTGATCGTTTGTTTTAGACGGTGATAAGAGACCTGGGAAAGTAGCGAAGAAAGCGGGAATCCCCTTGTTTAATGGCTGAGGAAATGGGTACCAAGAGGGTCAACAGTGATGGACCCTAGGGGTCCATGTGAACAAGGTGGGGCCAGGGTCTAAGGCCTTTTGAAGGTTGTTGTTGCCTGTTGGACCGTTTCCTAGGCCTGCCCAGGAAGGGTTGAAGGAACGGGTGCCCCGGCATTTGAGGCGCCCTTGATGCGGGGACCTTAGCCCTGGTGGCAGATGCTTCCGGCAGCTCGGGGCAGTTGCCCGGCATCATGGAGGAGCTGGGGGGAGGGGAAATGGATTTAGTTCATGTGGCTCTCCCTTTGCAAAGCATCGAGAAAGGGTTCCCTGAAGCAAAGCCATCCAGTTTTCTGAGCGTTGCTAAGAGAGTTGTGAATGAATCTCGGGTTTTGTGGAGCTTTCGCGGGCTCCAGTAGTTTGGGTTTGGCTCTGGTTTTGGAGTTGTGTTGTGCCAATTGGTTAGGGTCTTAGGTTGCATTCGGTATGGGTAGTCAGCACCAGCATGGGTAATTGAAAGGAGGATTGGTGACTTTGGGACAGTCACATGCTACATGTTTTTTGGAGACTCTTAAACCATGAGGCCCACCGTATGCAAGAGTTACTCTCCCACCTGCCAACATGGATCCTGCGCAAGACCCCCGTTTCTGTGAATGGACCTCTTTGTCAGGTTCCATGTTCGTTGGGAGGATACTGTTCTAAAATGCCGATTCGTCCCAGGTCAAAGCAAAAGGTCAGATGCCGGTGGGAAAACTACAGCTTGGTGGCTTAATTCGGTCACGTCGGCGCCAACATGAACTTTGGTCTGGAGTCAGCCGTGTCCTAAAACAGATCAACCCCAAGCTAGACGAAGCACCCCTGACTTACCTCAGTGGGCTTGGTAGAATAAAGAGGCTGGGGGGGGGTCCCTGACAGACATGGCAGCGACAGATGCAGGCACTGAGGGGGTGTTGCACAGGGATTTCGGACCGCCACAGCGTTGATGCTGTCAATTTGTGACAGATCATTTGTCTATTGAAACAGGACCCGCCAGCATCCACGGTGAGCATGAATCAGGTTTTGTATTGGGTTGCCTTTTAGGCACAAAAACAGGCGGCCTGGTTGCGTCTTGAGGCAGACCAAAGCAACGCCGATCAGTCTGAGACAGTTTCCACCCCCCCCCCAAATCCGTAGGCCCAAAGAGAGAATGGGCAAAAAACCTTGAATTATGTAGTTGCAACCTCTTCAGCGATGTTATTCTCCGTTTTTTCGCTACATAGTGGTTATGTGCACTTTACTCTGGTTTGGGTGCCTATCGACATCCTTGGTGCTAAATCTCCTCTATAGTTTTGAACATGCGAAAGGGACGCCACCATGCAGTGGGAAGTTGTCTTTTGCCAGACCCCCTCTGTGGCTGTGGTTGTCAAAACCGTCTTGGGATCCCATTTTGGTAGGTGAATTCCCCACCCATCTTAGAACCTATTTGAGTGGTTGGATTGGGTCCCGTTCCCTGTGGCTAACCGATTTGGCTTTTGACCCATGGCCATGTAGCCTGCGAGGAAGCTCGCGGGTTGCTGCTCCGTCAAGTCCGCAGCGAGAGGAAAAAGTGCGCGGGGCTGACGCCGTCGCCGTCCCTGAAGGTTTTTGAGACGGGTTCCCCTTCGAACTCAACCAACGAAAAAAAAGGATGCCCCTTTTTTCCCATGGCCACTGGGCATCTGAGATAAGGTAGAACCAAGGTTGAACCACGAAGGCTAGTAAGGGCCAGTCCCAGCCAGAAATAGTTGCGGATATCCGCCTTCTTAATTCTTGAAGCATGGTTCTGGGTTGACCATTTTACTACCGAGTTTTGATTGTGACTCACATGCAGTGCCTAAAGGGCACCAGTTGGGGGATGGTTTACGCCAGTACTAGAGTTTTATCCATCCCAACTGCAGGATTTGGTGCACAGTGTTCTACACCTAGTACAGCCGCCAGCCCTGAAGGAGAACAAAGTTTAGGAACTCGAGGGGTTACATGAGCCCTAAGGCTTCAGTGTCATATTTCAGGTTGGGTTCTAGAGATTGGTGAAATGTTTGAGGACTGTGAGGTGTGAGTGGTGGGGCAAATGTAAAGTTCTACTGGCCTGTGACAATTCTGGGGTCCATTAAAGTGAGCAAGTTGATTTCATGGTCACCAGGGACATGTGAAGCGCTAGTCGTGTAGGCCCAGGAGGTTGAGGGGGGATGTGGCCAGGTGATGACCATCCAATCTCGCTTGTGTGCTATGTGCGGGGTCCAAGGAATTGCTTCACATGGTCGCCATCTAAATACAAGGAGGCAATTTTTGTACAAGAATGGTAATTGATTTAAGAGTACCCCACGCTTCTTGAGGCCCATATAGTACTTCCTGCGCCCAGTCCCTTTTCGTTTGACTCGACGTGATGCGTGATGCCTCTCGCTGGAGGCTCAAGGAAGGGAAACCGAGGTCCCATGGGAGGTTTTGAACCATGCGCGCCTGGTCGCACCGGGTATCTGCAAGCGTTGCTGGACGGTGGCCACGGCTTAGGCAGGGCACAGCCATACGATGTAACGTTTGATCCATGTGACGTTGGACACGTTTCTTCTGAGGGGCACTCTTGTGTATTTTTTGTCTTGCAGTTGGTCCCTCACTAGAGATGAACAAAGGAAGGTGTCCTGTTTTGCAGAAAGTGAGGCAGTGTCCATATTGCTCACCTTTTTCTTGTAAGCCTGTCAAGAGCAGTTTGCTTGGCCCAGCTGGTTCAGGCTTCCCTTTGCGCAGGGCTGCGAATAAATGGGGAGCGCCCTCTAAACTGGTTGGTGGACTCGATGCTCATGGAAATGATGTCCAAAGATCCGATCCCTGAACAATGCTCTTTGCAGGTTGAGCGGTTTTGACTCTAAACATACTGTGTATGCACGAAATCCATGTCGCACCCAAAAACACCCTGGAATGATGATTCGGATGATTCCCCCTGAAAAAATACCAACAAACGATGGTTTGGCAAGGTTTCCAAGTGGTGCAGAATTTCATCCATCGACAGTCTATCTCATGTCCCGGTCTTATTTGCATAGTTGCAACTTGCAACGCCAATCCAGTTCATGCTGACTGCAAGCAGTTAGAGGAAAGGCCAAAGCAACAGAGCCCGGGGGTCCTGTCCGGCGATTGGTTGAAACATTGCATTGGATTCGAATTGATTGGGTTGGAATTGATTCAATTGGATTGATTGGGTTGGATTGGTGTGGTGTGGTTTGGTGTGATTGATTGATTAATTGGATTGGGTTTGGTTTGATTGATTGATTCAATTTGTTTCGGTTCGATTCGATTGTTTATCTGACTGAATGAATGACAAAGGTTAGTTTGATCGATTGATCCACAACATGTTTGAGTGATGTTTGTCTGCAAGTAGAGGGAATCACCTAGACAGTTGCGGATCTAATTTTTCTCCTTTGCTGTGGGGCTGCCCAACCTGCTGTACCAAGAGTTGGTAAACTCCATTCACCGAAGCCCACGCTGTTCGAAGCCCGGGCGCCGAACGGACCAGCGCCAGGTGCCCTTTTGCACAGATAGCTCCCAGACTTGACCCTCGTGCACGGAGTTTTGCAGGCGTGACCAGCCCCGAGGACAGCTTAAAACCGTTGGGTTTTCTCTGAGTTTGCAAGCTGACTCAACTTGTGTTTGGTAGGGTTTGCTAGCAAGGCCTGATGCATGTTGACATTTTGACACTTGACTGTACAAGAGAACTTAAAGTCAACGAGCCTTCCCTTGCTCATTTTGCGACCTAGGAGTAACATGAGCCGGCGCGTGAACAAAGGTTCTTTTGCTTATTGCGCCTGCTCATTTTTGAGCCTTGCAGTTGAACGTAGCAGGATGGGGATAGCCTGTGGATTCCCGGGGGGCAAGAGCAAAGCATCAAGCCGCACAACCTTCATTGCAGGAGGTGCCGTTGGACAAGCTGCGCAATGTGGCGATCATTGCGCACGTTGATCATGGCCACTCGGCCTGATTTCATTCTTGCAGATTATTTCTCGGATATGGTGATCAGGTAGCAAAGTGCGTGTGGTTTTCTATGCGATGTTATAGCTATTTATAGTTTATGACTGGCTTCCTTGCAGTATGCCAAAAATCAACAGTTCCGTGAGAGTGAGACACTGTTGGACCTGGGATGCACTTGATTGCAGACGCTTTAGCTGGTTCTATGTCAGTTGCCTTTTGTTGACCGCCGACCTTGCGGTTTTCCCATGCGGTTTCAGGGTTTCGCTCTCATGCTTTGGCAGAGTGGGTTTCCTTGTATCTCCGTGTGCCAATTGGGTATGGGTCAAAATTACCTCACCTGGGGACCGCGGGTGTCATTGTTTCCATTCACCAGGGCAAGCTATTTTGTGGTTACCCCATTTTTGACAACCACACCCAGTGCGCTGAGGGAAGACCACCTTGGTCGACCAACTCATGAAGCAGAGCGGCATGGGCCTGAAGGTGACGGAGAGGATGATGGACAGCAAAGCGCTGGAGCAGGAAAGAGGAATCACCATCCTCTCAAAGGCCACCAGGATATCCTGGAGTCTCGACTCAGAGTGTTTTTGGTGTTTTGTCAATTTGTTGTGAGTTCCATATGTTGTGCTTTTTGTTTTTGTTTGAGTCATTCCAGTATGGTTGGCTCATGAACCATTTGTTTGTTATGTCAGCGTTTTCCGGAAATGGTGGTTCCCACGTATGGCTGCTTCTTTGGAATGCCATCCAAAAGGGGTTTCCCAGGTGTAGACACCCCCAGATGTTTGGTCCCGTTCACGGTACGTGGATCCCGACTTGTTTAGCCAATCCCCATTGCAGGACTCCCCGCGCTTTTCAGTCCGTGTTACGTTGGTTTGTTCGTAAGGGGTTGTGACAATGCGACAGGGGTCAAGTACCCCTCAATGAATTGGTGGCTCGGGTTTGTGGTTGGAACCTCAGCTTTTTTTTGAAATGAAATGGTGAAGGTACGCTCCCGAACGTCGAAAGCACCAACCCAAAGCACCACTGAGGGTAAGGTGAAAGGGGGTTATGACAAGACAGAAACCGGCTAGAAACACAAACTGTGAGTTAGCCCGAGCTTTGTTTAAAGTTCTGTTGGTATTTGGCGTTCATGTAGATGTTGTGACCTTCTGACTAGCATCATCCAATTTTCTCAAGGGGCCCTGGGGTGGATTCAATTTGGCTCTTGAGTTGGTCTCCAATGTGAAGAACTCACAAACTGGGTGGTTGTCTTTGGGCGTTCCCTCAACCCTACGGGACCAACTCCCAACAAATCCTACCATTTCAGGAGAGCCATGTCAGATGGTATTGAACATTTTGTTTGGGGAGGGGTTATTTGGCTAGTTTCTTGCAGATGTTCTTGTCTAGGTCCCCCAGTAGTGCCCCTTTACCTTTTTGTTTGGCGGGGGGGTTCCCCTACTAAAATAGACTACTGAAAAAAGGGTACCCTTATAGCCGTTCTGGTCCAAAACCATTAGGGCTCAGGGATCGGGCTCCCAGGGCCTGGCGACACTCCCCGGTGCGTCAGGCGTCCACCAAGTCACGGTCTCCTCCGTGGCGCCCCGCCTTCTTTTGTGCGCGGCCCCCCTGGTCTGCTCTGCTGTGTGGCGGTGGTCTCTTGCGTGCTGGGGCTTTGCCTGTTGCTGGCTGTGGCCATGTTGTCCCGGGACCCGGCGGTGTTGCGGGCTTTGTCTGCCCTTTCTTCCACCACTCTGGCCACACTCGATGCCCTGATGTCTGAGGTGGTTTTCTTCCAGGATCCCGATCCTGAGGCCTGGCGTGGTCATGCTGACCTCCACTTCAGGGTTGATGCTGGGATCTCCCCAACGGAGTGAGTGTGCTCTGCCTTTTCCCCTGGCCTTCCACCTGACCTGCATGCCACTCCCCGGGCGCGCCGGCGCAATTCACCACCCTCCTCAACCGGCCTGGCTGTCACTTCAGGGTGAAAGGAGCGTCCTTGGTGGCTGGCACCATGCCTCGCGTGGATCTGGTGGACCTTGATTCGCAGGTCTGGATTGTCCCTGACCCGGACTTTGATGCTCCGCTGGCTGTCACCCACCTGTTTGCGGGTGGGGCCAGGCGGCTGAGGCCATCAGGCAGTTGGTGGGCCTGGACATCCAGAGGAGCTCATGGTGGACTTCTCGCCACAGGTTGTTGCCTCGCTGTCTGTTGCGCTGGATGTTCCTTGTGTGCTCCCGGTCAACCTGACCAGTTGGGACCCTACCTCTTCCCAGGCAGTGATCCTTGCGGATGTGGCTTACCGTGGGTTGTTGCATTGTGTCCCATGGGTGGGCACTCATGTTGCCACTGCCTCGCCGCTGTTCTTCTTGGTCTCGAGCTGGTGAACAGGATGGTCTAGGGGATCCCCATGGCATGTCCTTCGTGGCCGCCTTGGCGTGGGCTCGGGCTGCTGCCCCTCTGGCTCTTCTCATGGAGTGTGTTGATGGGTTGCCGGATCATCCGCATTTCCCCATCATACTTGCCGCTATCCAGTGGGCAGGCTACCGGGTCCATCACTCACTGGTACATGACCATGCCGCCAGACGCCGTTGGCTTGCCTGCGGTGTGATGTTGAGGTTTCTGAGCCTCCTTTGGTGACCCTGTGCCTGCGCCGTGGACCCACCAGGATTTTCAGGTGCAGGAGGCTCCTGAGTTTGACTTTGCGCGATTGCTTGATGACCAGGTTCTCCGGCACTATACCAACCCTGCCTTCCTGCCTGGCGCCGATCCTCACTTGCACTCTGCGCAAGAGGTCCTCCAGAGGCGGCTGGCCCCTGCTGATCAGCCACTGCGCACGCTCTGTGCTCGGTACTCACAGCAGCATATCCTGCTGCTACCCTGGCTGACAGGGGGCTTTTTGCTTCAGCTCACCCTTGTTGATGGCTGCCCAGCTTTCTTCTCTCCCGCACAGTGGGCTATGTGGCTTGGAGCTGTCCGACCCCTTGTCTTTCCTCCTACCTTGGAGGAGGCTTTCCATGGCTTGGGCAACTGTATCTCTGTCCCACAGGCGGCCATTCCGTGGACTGTCCTCCTGCGTGCGGCCTCATTGCTGAGGTACCTGAGCACCTTGTCCTGCGTGTGTGGCGCCACCGGCTTCGGGGTACTGCCTTGCGTCCTGCTGTTGTGCGAGGGTGGTACTTTGTTGGAGCTCTGGATCAGCTCATAGACTTTGCCTTCCATCCTCAGACTCCTGTGCGGGCTGATGCGGAGGGACCGCCAGTTGTGGTTGGTGAGGAGGCTTTCGCCAGGATGGTCTTCCCCTACCGCATGGGTGCCGCTCGATCCATTCTCCACTCACCCTCTGGCTTGCGTGTTGAGGTAACTTACCCTGTTGGGGCGTCAGTCTCTTTGGTCCTACTGACGGCTCGCCTTCCTCCAGTTGTCTTGCCCCTCCTCGCTGTGTCGACCTTCGCTCGTCGGCAGGGGACCTGACCGGACATGACTTGGCTGTGGTCCCGGCTCAGGAGCCGGTGCAACTCGCCCCCCAGCCCCCTCCTGTGCTGGTGCCGCCGGAGGTGAGGGTCCATATCCATGACCCACGCCCGGTGAGTGACAACACTACGGCTGAAAACCTGGCTGGACAGCACGTCTTGCTGCGCCTCTTTCCCCTGCCTGGTGGTGGCTTTGGCTCTAGTGAGACGGCCGTATCTCTGGCTTCTGATGATGATGAGATGGTGCCGGTTGATCCCTTGACCATGCAGACCCGCCCCCCAGGCCTGACCCCTACTACCAAGTGTGCGCCAGCTGGCCCCAGGAAGGGGCACGCTAAATGGGATCAGCTCCTCTTGCCTGAGGACCATGCCTTTACCCTTGCTGGTTGCGCCTGTCTTGGTTCCGCGCGGACAGCTGGGGCCGCTGGTGTCAGGCCTCGCCTTCTGCCCTGTCAGCTTGCTTGCGGACAGCCTCAAGGCCCAGGTCACCGCACCCACGGCCCTCATCGTGCCGGGCCTGCGCTTCCGTCTTCTGTTGGCGTTGAGGGTCCCCTTCAAATCAGCGTCCTGGATCCTGTTGCAGCCCTCACCTACAAGCGGCAGGTTGTGCTTGTCCACCTCTCCCCGGGCATTACCTACCGCCCCTCTGTTGAGGCTGCTACGGTCATTGACACGGTTGACTTCGTTGAGCTTGTGGTTGAGAGCTTTGAGGCCCTTGCTACTGATTTCGCGGGCATCTTGGCCAAGCCTGCTGTGGACCTTTGGGCCCTCCTGGAGGCCCCCCATCAGCAGTCGGCGGTGCAATCTGTCTATACCCTCCGTGTGCTTCAAGGCACTGTTCACAACTTGGGTCGAGTGGTGCAGTTTACGGTCAAACTCCCTCTGACCCATAGGCTTGCTTTCCTGCGTCTATCAGGCACTGGACCCTTTTTCGTGCGGGATTTCAGGGAGCGGACCCCCAGGACCATTCCGTGGTTCATCGTCTCAACCCGGAGGGCCTTCGCGCGGGCTTGGCTCCGGGCCCTGGAAGGGTTTGCTGGCCTCGCCCCACTGAAGCGTGGTATCACGGCGTGGGTTCTGCACTCTCACATCGCTGATGCTCACAGAGCCTTGCTGCAGGAGGATCCCCGCTTCGTTGAGGCCAACCGCTCCCTGATCCCCCGTGTCACCTTTCTGGCTGAAGGTTTGCCGTTTGGGGCCACGCCGGGTGCTATCGTTGAGGCTGTCCACAAAGCTGTTGGTGCTCCATGCATCCCCTTGCACTCTTTCCGGCGCAACGGCATCCTGGTTTGGGTCTTGGCCTTTGCCCAGGCCCCTGCTCTCATGGACTTCACCCTCTTGTCTGCTGGGCGCCCTTGTGAGGTCATCCTGGCCCTGAGCCACCCCCCCAGGCGCGCAAGGCCAGGCAAAAGGGTGAGACATACCCAGCTTCCTTCCAGTGCTGAGGCCCCGGTCGCTTCTGCTTCCCGGCCTTGCCCCTCCGGCCCCGGCCCAACTGGGCTTCAGTCCCGGGGGCCTTGAGGCTAAGCAGGACACACTGGCTGACAAGGTTGAAACCCAGTTTGCGCAGGTTTCTGCCCGGCTTGTGGAGGTGCCGCCGAGGATGCCTTGGCCCCGTCTGCCAAGGCAGCTCGAATGGGGGCTTGACTATCTGGGCCGCTGAGGCCCTGTGGGGAGAAGGGTCTCTGGTTGACCCACTGTGTCTTGGGTTCTGGTACTGGCAAATGCTGCCTTCCTTTCTGCTGGTTGGTGGCTTGTGCTGTACCGCGTTTTTGATGACTCGCGGCTTTCCTGGTGAGGGCCCTTTCACTTTGCGCTCGCACAATGTCGGTCTTCTTGGTTGATGCCCATCTCTTTCTGGTTCAGGAGGCCCGTCTGTCTGCCGACAATGTGCGTCTGTCACTTTTCGGGCGTCTGAAGGCTGGCCGCTTACTCTCTGTTGTTCCTGACGTGAATGGTGTCCGTCGGGTGGAGTGGGGGGGTGTTGCCTCCCTTGCGTGGCGATGCACTGTTCATCCTGTTGATCCCCAGCAGGATGCATCCGGGCTCCTGCCCTCACTGCTTGCTTCGGGCCGTTTCCATGCGGTGTGGGCCACGCTTGGCTCTTTTCGCATGCTTGCGCTCAATTTCTATGCGATTTCCGGTGCTTCTTCTGATGATGCGATCTTTAGCCGGAATCAGGACTACCTCACTGCCATTTTTGCGTTTGCGGCGCAGTACGCGGCCGACCATCCAGTGGTTCTTGCTGGCGACTTCCAGGCGGATCCCTTGGCCTATGCGGCGTGCGATGACGCTGTTGCTACCGGTGTCTGGCTCGACCCCTTGCAGCCTCCAACGGAGGCAACCATGCGGGACCCCACTTTCAGTAGGGACAAGACCTGGCTTGGGTCTGGCCCTCGCACTGCCATTGATACTGTTTTGATCAATGGCCTTGCCTCACGCCTACTCCAGTCGGCCAAGGTGGAACCCTTGTGTGGCTTCCAACACGCCCCTGTGATCCTGCGCTTTGCAGCTCCCAACGAGGTTCCACGGGCTGTTGCCTTTGCCGCTTTTGCCCCGCTTGACCTTACTAGGCTTGTCTCTGAAGACCAGCGTGCTGCTCTTGCTGAGGAGATGTAGTCCACTTACCACCCGGCCTTGGCTTCTCTTGATTCTGTGGAGGATGCATGGGCTCTTTTCTGTGACTTTGCGCTTGCCACCCTCCTGCAGTCCGGTGCCCCGGCGGGGGCGCGGCCGTCGATGTAGGGGTACCCTGCCCCCCTTACGCCCCCAGAAGGCCGTGGGGCGCCCCTTTCCTTCATACCATCCTATTGCCCGCCTGGCGAGGCTCCTGTCTTTGGCGCGTGAGCTCTTCTACCGGTTGGTGCGGCTCCCCCTTACCTCGGTTGCCGATGCCCAGGTCACGCACTGCACCCTTAGGCGTTTTTGCCGTGTTGCTCGGGAGCTTCGGTTTGCCTACACGGCAGATGACCTCACCCCGGCGGGTGTTGCCCCCCTGTGCGAGAGAGTCGAGGCTGCTCTCCGTGATGCCCACCTCTCGAGGCAGCGCGCCGCTGTTGCGCGCTGGAAGGAGCGCCTCCGCCACTCGGCGCTTTTTGCGCATCTGCGCAGTGCCACCCAGGCTACCCACTCCAATTCGCTTGCTGGTCCTGATGGCGTCCCTGCTTACCATCCTGCTGTGGCCCTTGCGCACCAATGGAACACCGTCTTTAAGGTGCATGCGGAGGACTTTCCGGTGGACCCGCTCATGCGCCCTGTCCAGCATCTCCAGCATCTCCTTGAGCAACGTGCCTCTCCCTTGGTCCTTGCTCCTGTGTCTGCGGAGGACCTTGCTGAGTCAGTCGCCCGCCGGAGCCCCTGGCTTAGATGGTTGGAGAGCTGTTGAGCTGCCCGTCCCTGTGTACCGGCTCCTGGCCTATCTTCTTCAGCAGGTGGAGCTTGGCCGGTGGCCCATGCCACGTATCTTCGGCGCCGCTCGGTTGGCGGTCCTGGACAAGGGTGCAGGCCCCGCCCCGTCCTTCCTATCTGTTACCTGGCGTGGTCTTCGGCGCGGTTTCGGGCCTCCACTGAGTGGCAACATGCCGTCCTTCCGCCTGAGGTTGTTGGTGGAGTCCCTGGTCGCCGTGTGGAGGATATCACCCACCACATGGCTTTGGATTTCCATGAGGCGCGTGCCACTGATGCTCCTTTTGCTGGCATTCAGGTTGATCGCTCCAAGTGCTTTGATCGCCTTATGCCTAGGCAAATTGTGGCGCTCCTCACTGCCTTTCTGTCGTGGCGTGGTGCTGGCCACCCTGAGCCTTTGGCCAACAGTAATGGTATTGCCCAAGGGTGTTCCATGTCTGTGCTCGCGGCTAATGTGTTGATGACGGCGTGGTCCCTTCTTATTCGGCACTTTCCGGGTGTCACGCCCAGGGTCTTCGTTGACGATGGGTATATGACCGTGACCGCCTTGGATGCAATTCCCAACCTGGTCCAGGCCGTCCGCGCTACCTCTCTATTTGACGCCTTGGCAGGCCAGCAGTTCAACCTCCACAAGCTTGCGTGGCGGAGCTTCAGCCTGCGTTGCCCCAGGCCCCCCGCCTGAAAGCGAAGGCCATGCCCATGCTGTCATATGCGGCTGAGTCTGTCCTCTGGGATGGTCGGCCCATCGGGAACTCCTGCTTGCTGTTGTTCATCCGGGCCACTTGGTCCATCCGGAGTATGCACTGCCATACCACACTATCCTTAATGTTGCGGCCCATCTCCAGCGTTCGGAGGTCTTCAGCCTCAAGCGGAGGCTTGCTTTCACTAATCAGCGCCTGATGCCTTCAACCCTTGCGGCGGCTTTCGTGTCGGCAGTCACTGCCTGCGGTCTCCGTTTCCAGGCCCCTGCCTCTGTTGCCTTTGATCATGGCCCGTGCCTTTCCCTTTTCGGTATGTCCCTGCATTCGCTCAAGCGTCTGCTCCAGTGGACCATACCCCAGCATGCCTACACGAGGGCCTGCCGGGGCAAGCGTGCCAACATTGCCCATGGCCCTACGGGTATGTTGCCTTTTCTCGCTGCCCCTGGAGCGTCCCCCCCTGTCCTCGGAGGACCTCCTTTGCCCGTCTCTTTCCTTCCAGGAAGGCCGTGGCCCCGGCGGTTGTGGTTGGTTCGGCTCCACGCCTCGGGCCTGTCCGGCTCTCTCTGTCGCTACTGTGGTCGGGAGCAGGAGACCATTGGTCGGGGAGGTTGGCCAACACCCCCCCTTGTTCCTGACCAGGGGCCTGCCTTCGCTACCCATGGCCTGCTTGAAGTGCCTGCGGACCTTCGGTCGGCGTTTTGTGCAGCCCAGCCGTGGCCTACTACTTCTCCTTTTCCACGCTACGGGCCTCGGCACACTACCCACCTTTGGACTGATGGTAGTGTCTACTTGCCTCAGCACCCCTTCCTTGCGGCGGCTGATTACGCCATTGTGTCAGGTTCGTGTGCCACGGGTCACCTGGTGGTGCATACTGACTCCCAGGCTGCCGTCCAGGCTTGGCATGCCATTAGTGGGTCTGGTGGGGTGGCACCGCACCTTGCTGCTGATCTTTGGCAGGTCCTTGGGTCTCTTGTCCGGTCGCGTGCTGTTGGTGGTTTCTCCCTTGAGCTTCATTGGATTCGTGGTCATGTGGCGGTGTCGACTGCGTCACACCCGATTGAGGCTCTGCATGCCCGGTGCAACCATGCGGCTGACCTTGCTGCCAAGGCTGCCGCCCGGGCTTCCTTAGCTGCCCCTGCCCGGCGTCTTGATGCCCTGTTCTTTGCCACCTACCGCCGTCACCTGTGCAGGCAGAGCCTGTTCCTTGCCCTGCCGCGCACCTTCCCCCTGTGCCCGCCCCTGGCCCTGCTATGGGTGCCTCGTTGTGGGAGGCCTGGAGCAGCTTCCTTCATAGTGCAGTATGGCTGCTTGCGGAGGACTCCTTCCAGCCGGGCCTGGCGGTTGCGTTGGTGGTGTGGAGGCGCTCCTATCAGGATGGCCGCGCTGCCACGGTGCAAGATCTTCTGGCACACTTCAAAGCAGCTCGGCGCTGTGTCACCCGTAGGGCCCCACTTGCTTTTCCAGGTAAGTGGGCCCGCCTGGGTGCGTATGCGGGCCTGGCTTGGCCCCGCAAGGCCTTCTCTGGAGTGCGGTTGCAGTGCACTCCAGAGGAGGATGCCTTCCTTGAGCGTGCTCGGATGCGGGCGGCCCGCCTGGGCCGCGTTCCTCGCGATTGGGCCTTTTCACTTGGGTCCCTCGCATGACAGTGCGCTGGGTGCTGTGGTGGTGGAGGCCTGGAGCTGTAGGGCCCCGTTTCTGGGCGCGGCGATGCTGGCCTTGTGGTGGGGCCCTTCGTGGTGTGGGTCCTGGAGATGAGGGCGACCTGCCCTTGGAGGCTTCGTGTTTCACCTCGTGAGGAGTGCCTCTTTCTGCCACAGTCTGTGGTATGTGTCACTGGTGGGCACCTGTCCCACCAGGCCTGGACAGATGGTTGGCCGTCAGCCGGCGAATCGTCGCCCGCCGTGTGCCAAAAGGGTACCCTTATTCTAACCTCTCTACTGGAGGACCTAGTTGTTATTTGAGGAATGGCTACGTGTTCAACATCGTGGACACCCCGGGCCACGCAGATTTTGGCGGAGAGGTGGAGCGCGTGCTGTCCATGGTGGATGGCGTGGTGCTGCTGGTGGATATTATCGAGGGCCCCAAGGTGGGTTTGCGGGGTGGTGTGGGGTTCAGGGTGGCCCTCTTTGTTTAATCTCCCACCTTCTTTGTGACGATAAGTCAACAGGTAGAGCGGAAGTCAAACAACGGGTTTGGGGTTGGAGAAAGAAACACTTCCCCTCTTGTTTCGGTTTCGGAGATGCGGAAAAAAAGGCGCAGACCAAGTTCGTGCTGCAGAAGGCCCTGAAGCACGAGAAGATGAAGCCTCTAGTGGTCATCAACAAGGTGGGGCATCGCTCGGCGCTTCCCAGCAAATTGTGCGGTTCCTTAGACGTTTAGTTGTTTTTTGGTTGGTTTAGTGGTCGGGTTTCCATTCAACCCGCTAAAAGTTAAGCTTTTAGCAGGGGATCTGAGGAGAGCTCAGATTGATCTGAGTGATAAATTGCGAATAATGTGTACTTGTCCCAGCCGGAAACCAAGTGAGGGTGAGCAGGACCCTCCCCCCCCCCATTTAGAACCCAGCAATGCGAGCGGGATGTTACACCTAGGGGATTTTGACGACCGCTAATACGGGTTTCCCAATGAGGGTACTATGAACATGAGCCACATCAGGTTTGTTTATGGCTCACACGATGGATGTCAATCCGCTGTTTGTTGAAGGCCGTTGTTTTGCCCATGCACCAACATCAATAGGCAAACAAGATCTGAGTACTTGAGCATAGAGATGGCCATCCAAGGTCAAAGGCTTTTCATGCAAGCCCGTTTGGCGGGGAATTTGTTCGCTGCCGGCTCCTCTTGTCCAGGTTGGACGGTGCACTGCGATTATTCCGAACTAGTGACAACTACTGCAAGTTGACGATCCGAGTGTTGACAATGGTATGCGACCATTACTACTGGCAACCACAGACAAAGGATAGCGTTGACCCAGGCTACTTTTCAACACCCACCCCAACCTGCCCAGCTGATGTGCGCAAGGTGTGGGTATGGATCAGAATTTAACCACCAGGAATCGCACCGCAGGTTCTTTTAGTCCTTGGTTCCATTTACCAGGGCAAGCCATTTTGGGGTTGCCCCATTTTTGACGAAACCACAGCCGTGTTTCTACCCCAACCTGCCCCCGACCTGCCCACCTGATGTGCGCAAGGAGTTTCTGTGGATGTCATTCCAAAATCACTCCAGTGGATTCTGAAGCTCACTCAAGCTCATTCGGGGGTTTTGATTGCCTCAGCCGCAGGTGGACCGGCCCCTGACCCGAGACCCAGGCTGGGCTGGGCGAAAGTGGTTGAAACAAAACAACCGAACCATCCATTTGCTGAAATGACTATTTGTTATTTTCCCCTGTTGGCTTTTTAGACTGAATCTATCACTACTGGAAAGACTTTTTATTTTTTTCCAGGGGCGACGAAGCAAATGGAAGGAACGGGACTCGTGGGTTGCTGAAACAGACGGTGGTTACAATTGACCGGGACACCCAGGGGAGGTGGAGAACGACATCTTCGACGTCTTCGCAACGATGGCGTCCAACGATGACCAGCGCCTGGGATCACCGGCCTTTGGTTTGATGGACTTACTTAAAATTACACCAGGGTCACGTAGGCAGGGTCACTAGTTTCAGTTTGCGTTGAACACAGCTGGCAAGGCCATGTAAGCCCAAGAAGGTATAGGGAACTATGCCATGCCTTGTGTGTCAAAAATAATGGTTGAACACAGGATGTGTCTTTTCGTCACCATCCGTCGCCCAGTCATCCGATAGGTTGGAGTACCCCACCCTCTACGCCTCGGGCAAGGCGGGGTTTTGCGCCCGGACACTGGAGGAGGCGAGGTCCGACAGTCGACCCACGGACATGGCGGCGCTGCGTCCGCACGGAGAAGGGGTTGGGGGCTCCTCCTTGACCTCCGGCGGTGTTTTTTTCTTGGTTCCTTCTCCTCACCTTCTGAGCTCCTGGACTTTGCCCTTTTTGGAAAGATCGGTTTAGTGGTAAACAAATGATTTCGACATCTTTTGGCCAAACCACTCAGGAAGTGAGTTGTTGGGAGGGTCCCTGCAAAATTTACATGCCACGGGCACTTTTTTTTGCCATGGCCGCTCGAGGTTTGGCTCATCGACATGTGTGAAACTTGAGAGTTGGTACCCTTGGGGCTTGCTTTAAACAGAAGCGATTGGAAGCCACCTTTTGTTGCCAAACGTTCCCATATGTTGAGACAAGCCCACCTCGGTGGTTGACTCACTCAGATGGGAAGGGGCGAGAGGGGATTCTTTGGACTCATGACTTTGGACAAGTTTCTCTACATTTGCCAGCAAATGCGGTTTCCCAAGCTACTCGTAGTTCCTGTTTCTGGTACACTTGGGTGACGGTAGCTGTCATGTTTGAGATGCAAAGGGATGATGAAATACAATTGCGTGAAATGTGTAATGAGTCTAAGTTGTAAGCCAAACAGGACAGGCTTTCTTTGCCTTTGCTCTATTTGTGATGCTTTTGAGTCTAAGGGATCCCTCATGAAAGAGGAACCAATAACCCAGTTGCCCAGTGGCGCCTTTTTTTTGGGGGGGAAGGGTTCCCCTTTGAACTCAACCAACCAACAAAGGATGCCCTTTTTTGCCATGGCCACTGGGCATCTGAGATAAGGTAGAACCAAGGTTGAACCACAGTGAAACCAAAGTAAGTCACAATCAAAGCCCGGGTAAGTGAAGGTTAGTCAGGGACAGTCCCAACCATAAATAGTTGCGGATATCCGCCTTCTTAGTTCTTTACATGGTTCTGGGTCGACCATTTGAATACCAGGTTTTGATTGTCACTCAAGTGGGACTAATGCTGAGTCTAGGGGATTCACTCATGGATGAAAGACCAAGAAGGTAAAACCAAGGTTGAACCACAGTGAAGCCAAAGTGGCACCCACCAACGACGGAGCATAGACCCAAGCGGACCAAAGAGAGCAAAACCGACTCGAAAGCCGCAGCCTTTGAGGTGCTCTACGAGGCGATCAAAGATGTGGTGCCCCCGCCGTCGCCGCAGGAGGCAGCGCCTTGTACCCTGGGGTGGCCGCCCGTGTTTTTTTTGTTTTGTTTTGAGATCTGTTTGAGCCAAACCACTGCTTTTCAACTTTGGGCTCCTTAAAAGATACAATTTGCCCATTTGAAACATGGCTTTGTCCACCAAAATAAGGGGAAACCACCATTGACAAGGCAATGTTCAGGTGTATTCTGTAAGGATCCCAGTTCAACTTTGGGAATACTAAGATAGAGGCCAGGAACACGTTTGAGTTCAAATTTCAGGGTGGCTTAGCTCAATCAGATTTGTTTCCGTTGGTTCAGTTTCTTCTTGTTTTGCCGAATTTGATGCTAAAAGGGACCGAGCTTCTTTGGTGTTCCATGTTCGCTGCGGAAAGGCTCGTGTGAGGGCAGCAACACGTCGGTCATCGTTGCGGACGATCCAAGTTTGATCACGAATCACATGAGTTCTTTCCATGAAAAGGCACCCATGGTGTTGGAAATATCGACATTCTAGCAGAAACTAATTGCTGATACTCAAAGAGAGCTACACATTTCACTTTGAATGCCAGCGCCTCAGTATACCGTTGGCATAGGGAGGACATAAACATGCCAGAAACCTCACCTGCAACCTGAACCGCATGCAATTCATCGATCAATGGACCCTTAGGGGCGGCTATGGGGGGGGTATGCCAGGATAAGCCAAGGATATGCCCTCAAAAAAGGCCTTACTAACGGGATAGCCCCCCCTCCCCCTAGCCCCCTTTTGGGGCGCATGAAACAAGACATTTTTGGGATGGGCACCTTTGGGACTTTGCAAGTCATTCAGCTGAGCGCTTGGGGGTTAGGCGGGCGCGATTCTGAAGCTATCCATTTCGCACCTCCTTCTGAACCTTGGAATGATGATCCCCCCTGTAAATACCAACGGACAATGGCTGCGCCATGGTTTCAAAATGGTGCAGGATTTCGTTCATCCACGGTAGAACCGCTATGTTGCCTGCATGCTAGGCATACGGCTATGGAACATATGAACTCGAGCCATTAGGGCCCATCACCCTGCGGGTATGTGGCAACAGCTCTTGATAAAATATCATATCAGAACCAGGACCATCAATGTGTATAATCTAGTGATGCTTTACAAGACGCGCCTCTGTAAGATTGTGTGTTTCAGGAAAACCCGTTTTTCCGCAGAAAATATACCGCTTGCACAATGGCCAGATAGTATAGTTATATATTTGTCCAAATTTTGGGAATTGTGTTTTGTGGGTGTAAATTGTTTAAAGTACTAACCACTTGGGGGGTGCCTCTGGTCTGGCAACTTCTCCCTCGAGCTCCTTCCTCTTCCAGCCTTCCATTTGCACTCCGTCTGAGGACCCAGCGGTGGTGGCGGCGGACGAGAAGTGCAAAGGCTTCTCCATGCTCGTGTCACAGCTGGACAGGCGCTAGTCGACCGACCTGATATTCGGAACCCCACAGAATGAATTCAATTTTCCGTTGGTTTCCGAAACCCTTTAAAGCCGTCTCAAAATAGAGGTGGCCCAAAATTGCCAAACATCCGCCCAAAAAGCGGTACTTTCTTTTTGGGTTTCCCTTCTCACCAAAGCACCCCAACAGCAGTTGGCTTCTGGTCCAAAAGGTGCATCCGTTGTTTTTTGTTCAACGTGCAAAACGTTATTTTTTGGTTTGGAGGCTGAACATCCCAATATGTTGTTGCATGTCTGTCTTTTTTAATTTAATACACACAAGTCATTTTGAGGGTAGCTGTCCATTTTAAGTACAGATGAGGCCCAATCGTGCGTTTGGGCAATTGGCGCATTCAGCTAGCCTCTTCCTTGCCCTCGTCTCCCCCAGCAATTTCATGCCTTGCGGAGGCTCCCGGCTTTGGGCCCGACGGTGACCGGGAAGGTCTTCAGTGGGCAGATTCACAAGGGGGACAAGATCAGCTGCGCCCTGGATCTGTACAAATACGTCTTTGGGTCAGACTCACAAAAACGGATGGAACTCAAGGGGGGGTCAGACTGGGAGCGGATTGCTCCCTCTCTCTCCATGGATTTGACCACATCACAAAGAGGCAAACCAATTGTAAGGCAGAGCCCGGGACCATTTTGTGGAGTTCGCGACAGCACCCACGATGAAGTTTCCTTCTGCAATGGTACCATTTTGGGGTAGGTGAATTCACCATCCACTTTACTCTATTTTAGTGGTGGATTGGGATGTTCACTGGGGGATAACCGGGATTTTGACGAATGGCCATTTGACCCATGTTTGTTTTCCTGAACAGAGCTTTGGGATGTGTCAAAGCACAAGGCTCCAGATGCCAAGGATAAAACCGCGTGGCCATATCCAGGACCTCTACGGCAGGCTTAGGCACACATAGCCGAGGCAAGAACTTGCAGGGAGAAGTGGTGGCCTCTGGCAAAGTGAAGGCGCGGCGATGGCGCTGGTGGCGTTCGGTCCCCCACCAGCTAAGTGCCCTTTTTCCCCTCTTTCGGGGGAGGGTCCCCCCCAATCTTGACTAGGTCCCCCAGTAGTGCCCTTTTACCCTTCTTTTGGGGGGGAGGGTTCTCCTACTAAAATAGACTACCGAAAAAAGTTGGTACCTGTATTCTAACCTCTGCACTGGAGGACCTAGGTGGGCTTCATGAGATCTGGGTGAGGCAATCTGCCAATCCCCTAGTGCTATGTCAAAGCCACACCCTCCAAGAAAAGCAGTTCAGCTTGCGGGCAAACTTCTCCAAGGAAGCCGCTTGCCAGTCCGCTGCCTTGGCTCCAGCCACTTTGCACGAAGACGTCAAAGCCCTTGGGCTCACGTATCGAATGCCCTGTTGCCCTTAAATGCCTAAGCTTGCCTTCTGATCCTTTGTTTTTTTTTTTTGGGGGGGGGTGTTTTTTTCTTGGACAATTTCTTGTATGTTTTAGCCCGCGACCTCTACAGCCTCTACAAAACCATACCAAACCGTCCTTTTCCCGTCCAGCGATAGGAGATCACGGTGGTGCTGGGCGTGACGAGGGAGCCCGTGAAGATGGCCAAGGCGGGGGACATCGTGTCCATCAGCGTGCAGGGCTTTATGCCCAAGTGGACCCAGACCTTGGTGTCCCACGCCAAGGCGGGGAAAGGGGCGGGGAAAGGGGCGCGGAAAGGGGCTGTGGATGGTGGATGGGTGGCATGGCTTTGGGGGGTTGGGTTGGGCTGAAGGGGGGGGGAGGGGGGCAGGGGGAGGAGGGTTGGGAGTTCGGGATTGGAATCCTTCGGGGTGCCTCCACAGTGTTGCAGGGCGCTAGGAAGGGAGGCTGCTGGGTGTTGTACAACAGGAGTGAAGTGTTTTGGATGTTTGAAGCGTCTGGCAACATTGGACATGTGCCACGGCATGTTTGTTTCCTTGATGGCCCGCTTGATTGCAAGAATGCATCACACAACGCGGTTGGCGAAGAATGAGCAGAGCTTAAATTTGATGTAGTGCTGATACATGGCTTCATGGCTTCACGTCTGCTCAAAGAAGGCGCTTTTAGCACCGTGCCAACTGCAGTCAGCCGTCTCGACGATGTGCTCAGGTTCCTCCGGTCCCGTGTCAGCCGATCGACCCGCCGATCTTGGCGGTGCGCGCGTCCGTGAACGACTCCCCCCTGGCTGGCAAAGATGGGAAGTACATCACCTTGAACGCCATGGGGGAACGGCTCGAAAAGGAGGCGCTCACGAATCCGGCCATTGACCCTTGGCAAGATGCATAGCGGCCGAAGAGAGAGTCTTTGAGTGGTTTCCTGCAGGAAACCAGGCTGTGCTTGATCGCTGACAACACAAACCCTGGTGGTTTGCCAGACTCAGGGCGCGTTCAGATCCAACCCCAAAGGTCCAGGGCATGGTTCATAATTGCATGGTTTACTTCGTTGTCAAAGGGATCACAAGTTGCTCCTACTAAAAGTGCAAGCACAAGCCACTGATGACCCATTTGCACAACAACTGCGTTCAGCATGATCTGACGACACAAAGGGCACAATTGGCTAAACGCGCTACTTAACAAAAGTCTATGCGAGAAACACCCCTTCTCTAGAAGAGAGCGAGAAATGCCTAGCTCCCAGGAAAGGTGGCAGGAGTGCCGGGAGACAAATTACATATAATAATGGAGAAAGCCACAAACATAAACAACACGCCATTGCTTCAAAAAGTGCTAGACCTATTTTAGACCTATGAGTCGTCTTCCTGATTGTCGGAGCAAGTGACATCAGGCAGGGTCACTCTCATAGCCCTCGTACATTGCATCAATATTAGCCTATTGGCAGCAGGGTTGATGACAGCTTCTCAGATGGCCAGAGCAACCCGCGAATGCGCATGCCGCAGGCCGGCGGGAGCACACCCACAAGGTATTGTTTCTGTGTGTATTCGGTGCTGCCATGGTTTCCCTTGCTCACTCGCTTCGAAGCTTCAAGGTCTCTAGTGGAAAGAGCAGACGCATGTATCCATTTCAGTGTTTGGGGGTGCAAGCCGCTGTCGGAGGAGGGGGTTTGCATAATAAAGGATTTAGTTTTATCGGCTTTAATCGACTTTGGCTGATTTCATTCGCTAATTTGCCCATATTCCAACGGGATGTGTTTGATATATGTTGACCGTGAGTTGAATTTCTTGGCGGTTTGGATTGGTGGTTTGGAGATGAGGGAAGGACCTGACCTGTCCGATTCGTTTTTTGCAGGGGTTCTAACCCATTCAAGCTACCAAGCCAAGCCTTCCATTTGTCAAAGAATGTGGTTGATTTTCCCGTGTTGGTTAATCTAACACTGGACACAAGTTTTATGTTTTTGTATGCGACTCATTGGCAAATGGTGTTGTTTTCCGTGTTGGTTTCTCCCCTGTTTTATAAGCTGGACATGAGTGTGTTTTCTTTTTGTAGGGGACTCATTGGCACCTCGAGAAAGCCCCCTGATGTATCATGTAAACTCCAATTCTCATCATGCAACTCCACTTCTCAGCATCATCTTCCATTTGCTTAAGAACATGTTTCTTTCCTTCTTTACCTGTCGGTTTTTTCAAGGAAATCGATCACTCGTGGACATAGAGTATTTTTTTCCGGGAGACTTCAGCAAATGGAAGTGGTGGCTTGGAAGCCAGCCATGAGACGAGAGTCAGGAGATCGCGGCCTCGCCGAACCGGGACTACTTCGAGATCCGAGGCCGGGGGGAGATGCAGCTGGGGATCCTCATCGAGGAGAACCGGGTGGGTGGGTGGGATGGATCTGGGGGTCCTCCGATGGAGCGATTCTCCGAGCGGTTCCCTTGGAAAGACCCCACGGGGTTCCATCCTGTCCTTAAGAATATGCGGGGTTGGGGGGGGGATTGTTGAGAGTTGTTTATTTATGGTTCCATTCTCCCTGGGAAGACTGGAAAAATGGAATTGGGCACCCCGCCCCCGCCGCACCACTTAGAGTAGGGGAGATGGGGTTCCCTTTGGTTGGTATAATTGGGAAGGGGGCCAAGTTCAGAAAGAGCAAGGACTCACAGGCCGTTTAACGGGCTTCCCTTTTTGCTGCAGTTTCAGTTCCAGAGGTGACATGGTTGGAGGAACCCGCGCTCATTCTTGCCCCGTTTTGGAACCTCTACAGTAGGTGTCATTGAAAGTTCGAAGCTCGCTGTTCTTTCCAGTCCCATAGATCCGACCTGTTTTTTTGTTATCCTCGATTGCCTCTTAGTCTCTCTTAAAACAACATCCAAACGTGGGGGGCTGCAAGTCTTGGAAAAACTCCCATTTGAGAAGGAATTTGACATGGATTGGGGGGCCCCCTCAACCACAAAACCAGTGGCACTAGCTCAGCGCAAAAAGCATCCACGATTCATTGCTGCCAACGACAAAATTGTTTGATTTTAGAGGTGCCTGAACTGCTATCAGGTGGTTTCATTACCCAAGTTCAAGGATCGTAATGCTGCTATTCTTGATTTCGCGCTCGAGAATGTGCTTGCCCCTTTACGCTGAACAAAGGTGGGGATGCAACTCTGTGGAGGGTGGTGAGCATTTTGGGTTTCTTTTGCCACTTCGGTCAAGACTCTTAGTAGTTAGCCAATGGTCAATTTGGGAGGGACACGGTGGGTGCAAGTCTCCATGGAAAGCCAGGGGACTAGTAGCCGGCTCCAAAGCGACTCACCAGTTTTCCCATGTGCACATGGGCAAGCGCGCATGTCGACTGTGGCGCTTTGGTCTGCTCCTTTGAAAAAAGAGAAAGGGGAATGGTCAACCGTTGGCGGATGGTGAATGCGAAGATCACCGGAAATAGAGGGACCCTGGCACTCTCAAAAGGAAGCATGCACAAAAACGACTACAAGCGCAGTTCCCTTTTCCCAACCACACACACAAAAAAAAAAACTAAAACACCCGTCCAGAAGCATTAACAAGCATCAAGCCCAAAAAGCGCTTAACACGCAACAAACAAAACAATGAAAGCCAAGATCACATTCTCCACACAAGGAAGGCACGCGCACACACAAAGCTGATATGAGGCTTTGTCCGGCCCTTTAGGAGATGCGTCGCGAGGGCTACGAGATGTCCTTGTCGCCGCCCTCCGTGGTGAAGTCTGTAAGCCCGGCGCTCGATTCGATGGGATATGAGATCTTTGGGGTCTCCGTGAATTTTTCTGAGATTAGGCTGTGGCTCAAAAAAGAACGGTACCAAAACGGCACCTTGGGAAAGGAAAGCAAAGACAAAAACCTACGGTTTGCCCTAGCTCTTGAATTTTGAGCCACACCCATATTTGAGGGTAGGCGAAAAGGGAAACATAATCCGAAGATATGTTCTGTGTGCCCCAGATGCGGGCCAAGCTTCTGCTGCATAGGTGTTGGTTAGCAACATGTGATGTCAGGCAAATCACTCTTGACCTCATAAACCCCCTCACCCGCGGTGAAGATCCTTTTCATAGGGAACCCTTCGTTTAGTTGGTCATTGCAGACAAACCCCTGCAACATCAACAGAATCTCAGACAATCAGCCAGACAATCAGCCGAACGTGCCAAGGTGAGGACGGCACCACCATGGAGCCTTGGGAGGATGTGCAGATTGAGGCGAGCTCGGCTCAGATACGATCTCAGCGCTTGGAAGGGGCTTCTTTGGCAACTTCACCTGGAGTTTATGTGGGGTCCCCTATCTAGCAAACACCCATGTGGGTGTGGGTCAAAAATAGGTACCCAAAATGAACCCTAGTAAATGGAAACATAGACTAAAATCTGCGGTCCCCTGGTGGTTTAATTTTGATCCATACCCCTGTCAAGCACCATGTCGGGGTTTTCCGGCCATCTACTTCTGGATCCGGATCTTTGTACACCGCCTGCACGAGCTTACCGGCCTGAAAAATGAGCAGACCGTCAGACCTTCAGGGAGCAACCCGAGCCTTGAATTCGGAAGTAGAAAGACTACGCTTGGTAGGGCGTTCCTGTTTCATGTCGTACCGACTAGACGCAGGGCTCCAATTGGGAAAAACCGAGGCCCCCTGAATCACTATGGGCAACCAAAATGGCGGTTTCCCTTTTTATTTCCCTTTTATCCGCACCCCAAAGGGCACCCTCAAGAATCAACACACCCTCATGTGAAAGCTGGGGGTGAGGAGCGCGAGCGCCTTTTTCTCAGGTGGACCTCAACCACGGCAGCCAGGTCATCGAGCGCAGCTGGGTTGCCTTTGAACCGCTGAGGAGTCGACCGGGCCACGGTTCCACGGTCCCAGGGACGGGTTTCCCTGCAATTAATCAGTGATTCACGATGAGTTCGCCCTAGCAGACGTGATTTGGTTTGGCCGCAAATCCCTGAGTTCGATAAGGTCAGGCGCTACAGACAGACGAGAAATTCCGGCGGGGAGTTTTTATGTAGGACTCTTAAAGTGGGTTTGGCCCAAAATCGCGGAACCTACAAAAGGGTGGTTTCCCTGTGGTTTCCCTCATCATGCTGCCACTTGGTTAAGGTTTCCCACGAAAGGTCGTGGCCCATAGTGGCCCATAGACATTGGCAGACACTATTCACGAAAGCTAGCTATGCTAGCGGGAGTTCTAAGCTTTAACTTCTTTTTTATGTCATCGTGGATGCCTTGAATCCCCCTTTTGAGGTGAACGCAATATTCCACTTGCTTCATATAATGTCGTTGTTAGTCCCAGATCCACAGGCATGTTTCGATCAGCTTCCTTGGAGTCTTAGTGAGGCTTTGAGGGGCAGGGGACCGTACGGGCCCTACGCAGTCTTGCTCCGAGAAAAATGACAAGACATAGATGAGCCAAGCACAAGGGTGAACACTTGGTTTGGCTTCTTTGTTTCCTTTCATCAGAGACTCGTCAAAACTGTCCCTCCCACGGTTTGTGGAGCAACTCGACCGGGTTTGTGCCGCATGTCTGGGCTTGGGGAGCCGTTAGCCTGAAGTGTCTGCAACCTCAAGCCATAGGTCAAAATCCAAATCGGTTAGCCCCCAGTGAACATCCCAATCCAACCACTGAAATTGGTTCTAAAATGGGTGGGGAATTCACCTACCCCAAAATGGGATCCCGTTGGTTTTGACCCACAGCCAAAAAGCCTCCCCGAGGTATGTCTGGCCGCAACGCCAAGATCGTGGACATGAACACGGTCGGGGACCGTCAAGTGATCCGCTTGGAGGCGATGAGCGCCGCTGCTGAAGCCACCGGTTTGAACTCTGCCAACATATGAACACTGTGGAAATCGGCCATAGCAGTACATCAAGCTTCAAGTTGGGGCAAGGCGCTTTTTGTTCGATTTGCCGCATTTTTTTTTTTTTTTTTTTTTTTTTTTTTTTTTTTTTTTTATCAATGAGGTACTTGCAATATCTCGAGGGATCCCAGCCCTCCGTGCCCTACGCATCTCAAGTCTTCCGCAACTGAGTTGAGGCCTCTGACCCTTTCATGGTTGTCGTTGGGAACCATTTTACATTTTTGCTTGTTGTGGTTTAGTGGGAAATCCAACCACTTAACTGCAAACATTTACATTTTTGCTCCTCTTCCAACGTCAACCAAGCTTCTGGCTGACGGCTTTTCCCACTGCTCCCAGCTCCCTGGGAGGCTCCGACCTCCTCCATGCTGGGCCTTCGAAGTTGCGCGGCAATGGAGGGATTTGGCCACACCCCCTTGATGGTACCCTCGTTTCGCGGTGTTCAAAGGGAAGCCACAGGGAAATCTTCGATGTTTGGGCTTGTGGGTCATTTGGGGTGTCCTTTTTTTGGGGACCCCCCCCAAAAAAAAGAGAGGGAGAGGGTGTGTTCCTTTTGGTTTCCCTTTAAAACCAACCGAACGGGGGTAGCATCAACAGAAAGGACACATCCAAACAGGGCGATGCCCTCAGGTCTTTCAGACATGCCTAGTGGCCGTCTACAGCTGTTTCCCAGAATAGGAGATTCCGCGTTACGGTATTTGGTGGAAACCAACAGGGCCTGTCATTCCAAGGGCCGATCCCTGTTTGTTTTACCCAGTCCTTTTGAGAAAACGCTCAATTTCCCTGGGCGTTTGGCATGATCCCTGGAAAGCATAGGCAGCCTAGACGTCGTTTTAGACAAATAGATGGCAGGGGTAAATGGTCACAACCATGTTGAAAGCACCTATCATGGGCAGGGTTGCTGTTTAAACCCCTAAAGTGGTTTAAGCCCTTTAGCAGGGACTACATTTCTATCCTTGTGCTTGGGTCTGTGAAACCAGAGTGGAGCAACCCTGATATAGAAGCAAGAAAACCACGTGCTCTCCTGCAAAATAAGCCTGGAGCCCCAAACAAGGGTCGGACCAGCCACCTCCCGGGCGAGGTTGGCTTCGGGAGATCAGCGGCGGCACGGCCATCGTGGTGTCGGAGTTCAAGGAGCGGAAGGGTTTTGATCGGAGGGGTTTTGGACGATGTGTTTTTCCTTTTTGGAGGGACCTGGATAGCCAGGTTGCGATCGCTTTGTTCAGTCACTGTCGCTGGGCTTTTGGGGTAAAGTAAAGTGGAGAGAAACAGCAGCTGGCGATCCAGGGAGGCCCATGTTCCATTTGCATGATTGGAAGGGCAAGCTGTGTGTGGCTTTATAGTACTATGACTCAGTCCCTCTCCGTTTCGGACTTGAGACTTTTCGGGAAGGCTTCAGCGGCAAACGTTGCAAGTTCTCCAATCCACTCGGGAAGTAAGATACTGGTCAGTAACGGTCATTGATGGTCGCGCTGACCGGTTGTTCCTTCCCACCAGCAACAGCGTCATTCGGTGGGGTGGTTTTGGAGTATTCCCGTTTGGATCATTTTAACGTACTTGACTTCATGCTCCTCAAACGTGAAGGGCGCTTATTGATGAGGTTGACAATGAGAGTCTCACATGTTGACGTGCTTGCTTTTAGACACTCATAGTTACTTTCGGAATATCCCGAACAGTATCATTCCTTTTGTTGTGCACCAGGATTTCCCGAGCGAGTTTGCCACAATTACGGTCGCGGTCGGTCTAAATATATACTTGCACTTCGTTGTACTATCCACAGCCAGCGTGGCAACGACTCAATCTTCTCTTCCCACTCTTTTGGTGGGAATGTGTTGTGGACATTTGCTGCGGCTATTGCGTATGGCTATCGTTTTTGCAGCCAGGCTCCAAACTACCCAACAGTAGCCAATGGAACTGAGCAACGCGCGGTGGGGGTCCCTGAGCCGCAACAACCTCGTGCGTTCGTCTTGTGTTGTATACCCGAAGTTGTGTTTTACATTTGGTTGTTTCCCTTCTCTTGCATTCGGTTCTCTTTTGTGGCTTCCATTTGATCGATTTCATGCTGTTATATCCCTCCCCCGTCGGCCTTTCGCGTCTCCCGTTTTGCTGTATTTCCCAAGTCCGCAGGTGTCCAAAGTTTCTTGCAGGTGTCCGAAGGGTTTGCAGGTTTGCTCCTTGCTCATCTAGGTCCCCCAGTGCCCTTCTCTGCCCTTTTTTGAGAGAGGGGTTCCCCCACTAAAATGGACTACATATAAAAAGGTGCCCTTATTTTAGCGATTCTAGCCTCTCTACTGGTTTGGACCTAGTCATCCCGTGCTTCCCCGAACTCCGGAAATCCCAAAATTCTTATCGCCGCAGGAGATGCAGCCGCTAGGCCCGCCGGCACCTCGAGACAGGACCCAGTCGCATCGCTCAAAATGGAAAGCTGAGGGGTTTTCTTTTTTCATTGTATTTTACGGTAAATCGGGGGGGGGGGGGGGTCCTACTTCCCTTACTTGAACTCTACAGTATTTCTCTGGTTACTTTTGGGTAACCCAGGTGGTTGCAGCCACTTCACTTGGCAAACCAATAAAAAACACCACCATGTTGGCGGGTCCCTGCAGATCAAGGTGGCGTGTTAGAAAGCAAATGGCTGGCCTTGCCTTTCCCAACATGGGCATGAGTTGGTTTGGGCAGTGACCTTTTGGTGGACATTGTGCGGATTTGTGTCCAATCAACTGAGGGTCCTGGAAAACAATTTGCCTCCAAAAGAGTCCCTTTGACGGCTTCCATGTTGGTGGACGATCACCGACAAAGAGACATGCAAGTGCACAGTCCACTTTTGGAAGGATGTACTTCGATGTTCGTTGGTGCTAAGATAGCTCTTTTTATATAGCAGAGCCAACAAGAAGACTGTGGCTCTAATCAGGGGGTCCTGGATGAGGTATCCCAGAAAAAAGAAAAAAAGAAAAACACACACACGGGAGAAGAAAGAGCCAATGTTTAGCGGACTTTTAGTAGTATAAGGTTCGAATGCACTGAGTCAGGGGTTGAGACAGCGATGACATGTTTTTGAAATGAGATGTGCCAGGAACGGCGTGCTCTGTGCCAACACCGCGGGCATTGCCACCGCTGTTGACTTGGGCAAGGCCGGACCTTGCTGGGGAAATGTGCTGCACTTGCTGCGGTAAAAGCAGATTCAGTTTGATTGACCCTTGGGCATTGCACGAGTAGTCAGGCTTATTCGCATATTATTGCTAGTTTACCACCCAACAATCGAATTTGAACGACGTTGAACTGAGGACTTCCCGGCTGCTCGCAGTCGTCAGAGCCTTGCATTGTCGGATTGTGGAAATATATCTTATGTCTTGCGCCAGAATGTGTTTCCCTGCTTGCTGTACTTGTGCACTGCCCAAAGCGAATGTTTGTGTATGCGTTGTAGTTTGTTGGTCTGTTGGGTAGTTTTTTTTTTTTTTTTTTTTTTTAATGTTGTTAAACAGGGAGTTCAGGGATTCGTTTTTTTTTTTTGGGGGGGGGAGTTTTCCAGGCGATGTTTTCGGTTTCGAGCTTTAGGTGCGAAAGTTTACCTTTCTTCTTTTTCCGTATGCCAAAGTGCACTGCCAGCGGTGTCGTGTTTATTGAGCCACAAAGCTACGTGTCAATTCATCAAGGCTCCCGTGCAAGAAGGGTTGCTTGATGCCGCTTTAGAGCCTGCTTTCGGCTCCGCAGTGACGCGTTTGGCGCCTGATACACTTTGCTGATCACCTACCACTGTGAGCGTCGTTTATCGGCAGCAGAGTGGAACACCCCACCCACCTATGTTGCATACAAAGCAGTCCTCTGTTTTACCGGCTTTCTTTTCAGCCAGTGCCAACGTTACCTAAGACAGGGGAAATCGCCGGAAGACTCCGATTCGCTCTTCCTATTCGAGTCTTTCTTCTTTCAGGGAACCCCCTTGTTGGTATTTTTTTATGGAAGCCAGCGGGAAACACATCTCATAGAGGTTCCCCATACTTTGGGTGACACACCCATTGGATCACTCATGAATCTCCAGTCACCGATCGCCAAGCTGCGTGCTCGCAGGCGGCGCGGCTGGGGAAGCTCTTCATCGGCGACGGCTTTGAAGTGTACCCAGGCCTCCCGGAAGTGGACTCCTTCCTAAATGGGTCTGTCCTGCTTCGTTTCTTCTTCTTTTTTGGGGGGGGGTCTGTTCTTTGTTGTGTGTGTGTGTTCTTCTTCTTCTTCTTTTTTTCGCGTTTTTTCTTCTTCTTTTCAGGGGGTTTGTCCTCTTTTTGAGTGGAACCCCCTTTGGTTGGGAAACGGTTTCTTCCTGGACTGCCTCCCAAATGTTGTGGGATGAGGCTCTGGCAGAATTCGCCCACGAACAATGCCATGGTTTGCGGAGAAATGTTTTAGACCCGCTTTTGGTCCTCCTTCAAATTCGTAAAGTAGTGAGATGCGAATCCCACTTTGGAACCGAAGAAGTTCTGATGTTCCACAACCATGAACAAAGCACATAGACCCTTTTGGAACTACTTGGGGTTGTATGAAAAATCCGCGCAGGAGGAGTGCATGTGTGGAACGCCTGTAAAACTGTGGCGCATTTTGCTTGGCTGTTAGGACTTTAACTTTTTGGTTTTTTTTGGGTTTTCCATTAAACCGCTAAAAGTTAAACTTTTAGCAGGGGAGCAGAGGGCAACCAAGAAAACGATAAGGCGACACTACTAGTACTACTACTACTACTACCACAACTAATACTACTACCACCACCACCACCGCCACTACTACTACTACTTCTACTTCTACTACTACTACTACTACTACTACTACTACTACTACTTCTTCTACTACTACTACTACAAAATCTACTCTTAATGCTTCCACTCTTACCACTACTACTACTACTACTACTACTACTACTACTACTACTACTACTACTACTACTACTACTACTTCTATTACTACTACTACTACTACTACTACTACTACTACTACTACTACTACTACTACTACTACTACTACAAAAACGACTCTTAATGCTACCACTGTTACTACTACTACTACTACTACTACTACTACTACTACCACTACACTACTACTAGGACTACTACTTCTACTACTACTACTACTACGACTACTACCACTACTACTACCACTACGTCTACTAGTACTACGACTACTACTACTACTTCTACTCCTGCTACTACTACTACTACTACTACTACTACTACAACTACTACAACAACAACAACAACTACTACTACTACTACCACTATTAGTACTACTACTAGGACTACTACTTCTAGTACTACTACTACTACTACTACGACTACTACTACTACTACTGCTTACTACTGCTACGGCGCATTACTACTACCACCACAAGTACTACTAGCTGTCTCGCTCGGTCATGCGTCTGCCATCTTGTCCCTAACCAATGTTGCCTGTCATCTGCAAAAATCTCTGCGTGATGTAGGAAGCGAAGGCCATCCAAGCATTCCATGTCACTTGCCAAGAAGGTCTTCCAAACGACTGCGACACAAACCCGTTGAGTCCAATAGCCAACCAGCGGCCCTGCCCCAACCTTCCTTGCCCAACGTCCCCCCCTCCATGGCAAGGGCTTGAGCCATTGGCCATTGGTGATGAGAAGCCCAAGCAGGACAATGTTCTCCCCGATGCGGAGCGCATGGGCGCCAAGACGATAGCTTCAGCCACAGCGAGAAGACCAAGCCCACCGGTCGCCCGGTCGCCTTCCGAGCAGAGCTTTAAGCGCACCCAGAAGGTCTACCAGAAACTCCTGCCTGAGCCAAAGGGGAAAGAGGTCACGGCGGCTAGGGTCAAACGGAGATGAAGCTGCGGCCTCAAGAGCATTTACTTCCGCCTTTTGTACGAAAAGCCAGACCTTTCTGTTGCAGATGCCAAAAATCCGCCACAGAAGCGCACGGCAGTGGAGTAAGTACGTCCATGACATCATTGACAACAAGACCTTCCAAGTCTAGAGGGGGCAAAGCAGGAACAGCAAGGAGGAGGCCAAGCAGCAGAGACTGGAGGAGCCGAGGCGCAGCGTGCCAACCACGCCTTGTCAGGGGAGGGGGACGCTCTTCGCCTTGAACTTGGCGAGCTGAAGGCGACAAACGCAGACATGTCGCAGGAGATCGTCAAGCTCCAGGAGGCTAACACGCTGTGGGTCAGAAACTGTAGCGCCAAGCAGAGCCGGATGCTTGTTCGGAAGCCTTCCGCAAGTCCAATTTGTTGATGAATGGAAAGCTTTCCATCAGGCCGCCGAAGAGGCAGGAGTACGCGATCTGTATGGCGCGCCTTCGTGGGGAGTCCGTACAGACGGGTGCGAGTCAGGAGGCCTGCGTGATTTTTTTTACGGCAAAGATGCTCCGTGTGGTAATGCTTCGTCATTTGCAGGAGCATGGTCGATGCTTGTATTTTGTAGTTCCACAATCTTGTAACTGTCATCATGCAGAATATTCAGTATTGTTGCCTGTCAGGTTGAGCCGTCGAAGAAGCGCAAGAAGGATACTTTTTCATTGCAAGTGGCTTTGTGCATTGTGTTACTGAGCAACTCTTCACGATGCCACGTCGGCAACTGTGACTTGCCATTGGCAACGTCAAGGTCCCAATGTGGCACGTCACGAAGAGAAGTGGAGCGGGGAAGCGGCTGAACACATGTACTCCGTTGCGGAAAGCTCTGGGGAGGGAGTACCCGCATGTTTGCAGAAGCTGGCGGGTCATGGAGGACAACGACCCCAGCGGCTACAAGTGCGGCAGAGCTACGCAAGCCAAGTCCGCCGCAGACATCGTGATGTTCTCAACTCGCTGTCGCTGGACTTCAGCTTGTGGCCCACCGTGAATACGAAGATGCGGGAGAAGGAGAGCAAGTGGCCGCCGAACAAAGAGAGATGCGAGCCTACCTGCCGCGTCTTCGGCGAAAAGGCTACATCAACAGCATCGTGGGCGCCGTGGCTGGTCCCAGCAGCTGGCGGAAGCCACTTTCCTGAGGGCAGCTTGCCTGAATCAAAATTGATGCGCGTGGCAGCTCTCGCTCGGCAATTCTCGCTTGCTAGAAGAAATTCATGGCTTGGAGTTTGCTCAACCCCGCACGAATTTGACGTTCAAAGCTGCGCGTACGTGTCATGCCTTTCCGGCGCAAGGCTTCCGTCATTTCATGGCCATTTCCATGGCCATGTCCACAGCCGTTTCCAGCAAACTCTAATCCAGCAAAGTCGGCTTTCTTGTTTGAAGTAAAGAAAACCTTTTGTTTTTCGCGTTCTCCGCGCCTGTGGCATGCTGACATTTGGTAGAAGAGATAGGAAGGAGGAAGCTGACATGGAAAGCATCCGGGACAAGGTTCAACAAGCTTGACCTGACTGCCATTATCCTCGCCCGAGGCTTGAAAACTCAAGCCGCGTTGCTGCAGCGCACTTAAGGGGCATGCTCGGTCAAACAGAAGCACACAGCGATGTTCCTGTCCGGCTGAACATTTTTCAGCCCAACTTGGCCAGCCAGCTTTCAGGACCGGGCTGAGCGGCTGAAGGCCACTTGGCTAAGTGGCTAGGTGACGGGGCAAGTGTGCGATTCTTTTTACGTCTTCATTTATATGTGTATATATGTAGAAAATATATTTGTGACACACACACACACATATATATGTATATATGTATGAGGAGGCGTGCAGTTTTCTGAGCACAGGCCCGTACAAGGCAGCTTCTGGGTAATTGCCAAATTGGGGCGTGTAGTTAGCGACTGACAGTTGTTGATTCAGGGACCTTTTGCCTGACTCAGGGAGGATTGAGCGGTACAACAGCCGACCTTTTCTGTCAGGCTTGGGTCCCGGGCTTTTTGGTGACAGCTTCACAGTTTTTGATTCCCGCGTTTCTTGCTTCAACTTTTGAGCTTTTAAACAATATTTTCTGAGGACTGCGAGCTTCTTGACCATGCTACCAGCCTTCGAGCGCTCGTCCAAGGACATCCAACCTCCCTACAAGACATGGCAGAGATGTCTCGAAGGTTCGTGGCATCCAAGCTACCAGGAAGAACTCTGGAAGCGCTGGCTTCATTACCAAGAGCGCCTTCATGCTTGCCGCAATATGGACGGCAGAACTGTTTGCAGTCCGCACCTGCAGTTCGAGCTGGTCTGCATCCATGTGGCCAGCATGGGGCTCTAACATCGCATCCAAAGGCTCAGTGGAAACAACAAATCAATTTTTAGGGGTCCTCCACTTTTGGAAACACGCGCTTTCCCACTTTGCGGTTGGGCCTCCAATCGAATGTGGATTGGTTGCGCCCACAGACCAGCGAGATTTTGAATGTGTTGACATCGTGTCACAAGTACAAACCATTCAAGCATCAACTCAAAGATGCAAAACAAGCCAACTTTTAAAGGCGGTCATCAGCCGCTTCCCCTCTGTGCTAGAGAGCACGAAGAAACGACAGTGGAATCGAAAAAGGGATCTCACCCACGTAACGGCTTTGAGCAATTAAGCCTCACCTTCGCCCACCTGCGCCTGGTCTGATTTGAAGGCCCTGGAGAGGCCATGTTTGTGTTCCTATGGGTTCCCTCGAAATCCCCTCAAGGCCCGCCAAGTATCAAGGAGGTCCTTTCCATCTTTCCATTGGGGGCTGGGAGACGTGGCTGACACGTTTGAAGCAGTGCCAAGACAAAGCAACGGAAAAGGACGTGAGGCAATTGGAAGGTTGAAGGCTTCGAGCTGGGAGCTTGACAACGTCCTCAAATTTGTGTTTGGAATGGTTTTGAAAAGCAGCTTGGAAGAAAGGGTGCTTCAGACACGCCAGCAGATATTGACTTGGTCCCAGGTAGAGCATGAGGCTCTTCCGTGAAGTCGCAGCAACTTGACTCTGCTTTGCTCTAGTCAGCAGGGGTGCGTGCTGCTGCTACTACTACCACTACTCGTATTGCAACTGCTACCACCACTACCACTACTACTCCTACTACTTCTGCTGCTACTACTACTACTGCTACCACTACTAGTACGACTACTACCACGACTACGACTACGACGACGACTACGACTATTACTACCAGTACTCCACTTCTGCATTTGATTGTTTTCTTATTATTCTACTACTACTATTATTACTGCTACTACTACTACTACTACTACTACTACTACTACTACTACTACAGTAGTACGACTAGTACGACTTGTACGACTACTACCGCTACTATTCTACTATTTCTGGTACTACTACTACTACTACTACTACTACTACTACGACTACATTTACTGCTACTACTACTACTACATCTACATCTACTACTACTACTGCTACTACTACCACTGTACTATATTGCAAGTACTAGAATTACTACCACTGCTACTACTACTACGACTCCAGAATTTTATTCAACATGATGCTTCCAATGACCTGTAAAACGATTTACAGTGTCAAACAGTAAAAAGGGCATGGGGTTTTCTTACAATCTCACTTTTTGTTTGTAAAGGGTGCTTATGAAGACTGTGATTCAACTTGTTCCCTTTAAAGTAACCCAAGCCGAGTGCTGACCCAAAGCAAATATAACCACATTTCGCTTGATGCGCGAGGCATGATCTTTGGGGAGAGCAATGGCCAGCTCGACATCGACACCAACATCTCAAGGCGCCGAGGGACCCGTGAGCTTTCGCCACTCAAAATAGTGGGCTTGTTTTCTTATCAGGGATGCTCGAAAGTGGGTGGGTCTCTTTCGGTCAAAAAAGAGGCACCCATATGTGCCCGGGTCAACCCATGACACACTTTTAATATGAAGGAATTTAGCAACGAAGCGTGGAACAGGGTTCCGTGAAACCGACTTTCAAAGGACCATTACACCGCATGTTTGAAGATTTCAAGCCCCCCTCGAACAATCACGCATTTGAACCAAGCGGTGGTTATTTCTTGGTTGGCTTTGGTTTGACAGCCTTCAACAGAACATGAACCAGTGTTTGCAGGGAGTCAGTACCAGCCTCCCGCCGTGCCGCGGACAATCAGAGTCCACTTTGCAGATAAACAAACACACAATGCCCTAAAGAAGGTCCTCATGACAGCGATGAAGACCAATCGCCAGTGGAAACAAGGGATCCCAGATTCCCAAAAGGAGGTCCCAACATTGATGCCAAGTGTCCAGCCCCCACAGCAAGCGCTGCGGGAGAAAAACAAAAACAAACGCACGCCCGAAACGCCTCACAGGAAGCACGACGGGTACACCTCCGCTTCTGGGTACTCGCCCCCGGCGGAGAAGCGTTTAGAGGAGGCGGTTCGAATCTTCGGTGCCTCAGGGGGCTCAAAATATTTCAGGATTGATTCCCTACTGTGGATGGACGAAATGCATTTCGCACCACCTAAGAAACCCTGTAAATGCCAACAAACAATGGTTTATGGTTTCAAAGTGGTGCAGGATTTTGTCCATTCACAGTATGATGTTCAACGGTTTAAAAGGTTTCTCTTCAAAATCACTGGGTTATTGTTCTAGGGTGTTGATGTTATTTGACCCAGGACGTCCATAAGGTTTTCGGAGGGGATACCGCCTCCCCCAACATCTAGGAATTGATTCCTTGAGCATTCTTGTAAATTCGCCTTGCGAAAACCAGCCCCTTTTCGCCAGGTTGGCGGTGGTTGCTTGAAACGCAGGATTGAACACATATGGGCCCTAGACTTATGGGTTTGTTTTCATATGGAATTCAACATGTAGAATGTTGTTTCCAACATGGGAGATGGGTGTGTCTTTTTTGGGGAGCCACGTTAAGGCGGGACCAACGAGTTTTGGCATCACCCAAAGAGGGACATATACCGATTCCTGTTTGGTTTCATTTCGCGAATGCTGAATAGTGTCAAAACCGTCCTAGTTGCTACCCCCCTAAAGTCCAAACCAACTATGTATTTGAGTAGCAATCCGTCACATGGATTCCCACTGGCCGAAGTGTTTCCTGCACAAACTCCAAATCTGTGCCAGCTGCTGACTACTGGTTGGATATGCCAACTGACTCGGTTTTTTGTGTTTGTGTCTTTCTATGGGAAGCCTTCGGTGAGCTGCGAGGCGCTGAGCTACATCCTGGAGGACGAGAAGCTGGAGGTCACACCCAAGCGCATCGTCATGCGCAAGGCGCTCGCGCGATTGGTCGAGCGGTCGATTTCTCTAACTCGCGGGCGAGAAAATTTCGCCGGCGCGGGGGAAATGCGGGGGAATTGAATCGCAGGCAGGGCTTCGGGGCTTCTGATATGGAAGTGCGTGGTGTGTATAACTTGTTCTTGTTGGATGTTTAATTGGGTATGAAGGGGATATCAAGCGGAAACTACTCATCTGTGTTTGTTCGGGGGTTGCTAGTTTGCGGGGTTGGTTTGCTTGATGGAGAGTTTCCAGGATGGTCATCCACTGCGTGACATATATGCTTGAATTAGCATGTTTGATGATTCAAGTTCCATTCAGTAACGGTGATCGATAGCTGACATGAAGAGTTGCATCAACCGTTTTTCCTGAAACCCTGACTCAGACCGATTCAAGTACACCCAATGCAAATCAATCTTTGGATTCTTTCTGGTGCCTTGGTGTTTAAGCAACAGCGACTGGTCACGGCGAGCCAACCAAATTCGCCCAAGAGGGATGTCTTGGCCTGTTGCTTGTTCTGGATGCTATATAAACCAAAACATGACATATATTAGATATTTGGGAACCAGGGTGGTTGATCATTGCTTCGCACCCCGGGTAAAACACCCAGGCTCATCAACCCGTGGACAGCTGAGTAAGTGGCAAAACTCAACATGATAGAACCATCCCAAAGGTTCATGTTGGTGTCATTTCAGGCCCTCCTTTTCCCGAAGACTCCCTTTTGAGAGCTTTTGGGCATGATTTTCAGAGCGACACCCTCAGAAAGGGCGGACAGACCTCTCCAATGTGCTTATGATGTCCACCAAAGAATGCCTGTCCAGTTCTCAAGGTTCATTCGGGTCTTGCTTTAGGGTACCCCTTTTTTGATGGTTTTAAAGGCATACCAAAGGGAGAACAGCCATTTTGGGGTGTCCCCTGAAGAAGACAGAAGATAGACCCATTTAACAACATGGAATCTGAGGTTCGGGGGGTCCCTTTAAAGGAACATGGTCCAAACCAGGACCCCCCAAAACGTCAGGTTCCACGTCAATTGCTGGGAGGGTACCTGTTTGCGCTGTCTCCAGCCTCGGTGAAACCACGGGCTGTTCGAGGCCATCCTCGACGCCAACGAGCGCAGAGTGGCGGCTAAGGCGCGCGATCCATGGAGCCCTTTTCTGGTGTATCGAGAGTGGGGGGGTTCTCCAAATGGCCATGGGGCGTAACCTATGGCGATCCTATTTTGAGGTGGATGAACATCCATTTGCCACCTATTTGGATGTTCACCAGGGGTACAGGGGTTTGACCCACAGCCAAATGTGGTCTGCTTCCCCACATGTCACTCAGAAATGGACACCCCCAGAATTGAATAAACAGGTTGGTTGATTCATATGGGGTCAACCGCACATCAACGAGCTTTTGGTTTATCCATTTGCCACCATAGTAGGTAGCCACCATAGTAGGTAACTAAGGGAGCCAGCAATTGAACACCAAAGAAGAATAGCTGGTTACCTACTATAAAGGGTAACTAAGATTTAGCCAGCCAATGACCCGATGGCAACATGTTCATAGTGTGTTTGGCGTGCCCACATGGGCATGTGTCGTCCATCACAAGTTCTTTTTGGGGCGACAGCTTGTTGCGGTCTCCATGCTTTTCAAGCATCGTTCTTTAAGGTCCAGGTTTTCTTCTGGGTTGTGGTGTTCTTTTGTTGGAAATGAGGATCCTTGAAACGAATGAGCCAGCTCCCCTGTCTTCAAGGCTGCTTTTGATCATGTCGTGCGCGCCGTGCAGGCAGCAGCCAAGCGGTGAGCGGGGGAGATGGGTTCAGGTCTACAATTAGTGGCACCCCAGGATCAAACGGGCGGTGCTGAAGGCTATGCTTTATTCCGGGGGGTCGAGTCAGAGTTTGAAAAGCCCTATGGCGAGCCTGGGTTCAACCAGCTTACCTATGATGAAGCATGCTTTCATGCGGTCTCTCAACGCAGGTCCTTTTCATTTGCAGATGTTTCGACCGCGGGATGTGGTTGCTTGCACCCTGCACAAAACTCCAGGTTGCTTGGCTGCTTGGTTGGATCTCCAACCCTTACCTTTTTGCGGACATGTGTCTCTTCCCGCAGCCGAAAAGGGGCACGTTTTTTCTTTCTTTTTTTCGTCGGGCAAGAGCCACGTTTCCAGATTGATCCCTGGGTTCCCATAAGCCGGCGGCAGCTTTTCGTGACTGCAGCATGTCCCACCGCGGAAATGGATGGGCCCAGGTCTCCATGCCCCATGCGTTGGTTCCTGGGGCCCCTGAAGCCTCGAGTCAACGAAGCTTCGTGGTTGCCCTTTCAAACGGCAGGCGCGCTCTCTCACTTTTTGGGCGTACTCTGACTCAAACAGCAACTTGGCAGCGACTTGTTTGTGTCAAGCAGGATTGCCACACTGAGAACTGTTACCCTTGTGCACAGCTGCAGGGCGGTGTTGAAGTCGCCTCAAGCCTCATTTGGACGTGTCAGATTGTAGGGCCCCCCCTGCCAAAATTGTGGTTTTCCTTTTGGTTGTCCTTCAAACCCACCCCAAACCGGGTACAATCCAAAAGAGACACGCCTTTTTTTTGTTGCATGTTGCTTGTATGTTAGGACTTTAACCTTTTGCCAACTGATGGGTTTTCCATTAAACCACTAAAAGTGAAGCTTTTAGCAGGGGAGCAGAAAGCAACCGAGCAAGTCCAATGGCCCGTTGCTCATCCGCTCCGCCAGCTGTTTGCTTCGACAAACTCGAGCCATGCAGCAGGTGCGATGTCTCGTGTCACCCGCTTTCAGCTGCAAAGAAACACCTGCAAGCGAGGGCGCAGGGGGAGGGGCCACGCATCCGCGCTTCGTCCTTTTCTGAGGCTACCCAATCTGTTTGTTAATATTTTTTTTCGGGGGTGGCTCAAAGTGAAACAGCTGGGGTTACGCTGGTTTTGGTCTGCTTTACCATTTACCAGGGTTCCATTTTGGGTACTTATGTTTGAGCCACAGCCTTTTGGGATCTTTTTTGAATGGCAACCAAAGGCAAACCCATTTTGGAGGCTCCCCATTTGGAGACAACACCACATGCTTACTCCCACCACAGGCATTGGGCAGTGTTGATGAAAATCAATTTGCTGAAACCCGCCGTGCGCGCCCAAGGGTGCAGCAACCACCTTACCCTCTTCATGCTCTCAAGGGCCTGATGGGGCTGTTAGAAAACAAAGAACCACAGCGCCTTGAGACATTGCGGTGCTTGAATATTACCAGGCGTGATGGCATCTTTCCGCGCTTATTTTTAGCCAGACAGCGGGGGGTTGCGACGTGACTCACCCATGCTCAAAGTGCTCTTCTTGGGGGGTCCCTTATTTCAGCATACCCATTTGTGATGTCTCCCCTCAGCCCCGAAAGGGCACTGCGCTAGTATCCTCCAAAGGCAAACACACACACACACACATTTTCACCTCCCCCCTCCCCCTTCGTTCGGGACAACTTGAGCCCGTCGCAGGCGTTCGGTTCAAGATGCTGTAGCCATGGCTTGGCCAGCGGCGACTCCTTGTTCAGCGCCTCGGCAACGGTTCTGACTGAAGGTCACGAGCTTGGGATCCACAGAGTGGTCCTCTCGGGTTCTGGTCGGAGACCCAATGCACATACCCGAGTATTCAACAGCTGGTATGAAGCTGGTCTACCCAGAACCGGGTAAAGAATTGAAAAGGCGCCAGCACCCATTTATGGTTGGGGGGCTATCCCTTACTAACCTTCATCTACACGGGTTTTGATTGTGGCTCACCTGATATTGGCCTGACAAGTGAGACCCGGCTGCTGGTGACTTCTAATTGGATAGCTATTCACCTGAAGGGGCTTGATTGATGAGGTGGTGGGTTGGTTCTGGCCAATCGCACATTCACATGATATGCGTGTTTATTCTTGATGCAATTAATTGCCTATTGATCTGGGCGATGGATGCGAATACGTGTCCTAGAATCCTTGGAACACTGCCCGTGCCCGTTTTCCAACATCCACGTAATCTGCTTTCCACGTAATCTGTTTATTCCGGTTCCTGTTTGGCATGTCCTTTATGGGTTTACGCTGGCCCTTCCTGAAATAAAGTATGCTGGGTCGGCAGCCAAACGGTCAGAAGGAGGAGGCACAGTTCCATTGCGGGTCTAGAACTCAGGCCAAAAAACAGGCTGCAAGCGTCTAGTCCTTTCATCTGGCAGTTCCAGCCTACTCCAAGCCAAAAGAAGGCCAGGCCTCTCTGGTTCCTGAAGTCAAGGGTCCTCTTGACAGCCGAGTTGATCAGTTCTCTTTCATCTTAATTCCCCATAACTGGCGCACGAAGCTTCCTGAGGGATTTGTTTTCTCTGTGGATGGTTTCGCGAAATCCGCGAATCTCGCAGCGCCTTTTGTTGGGGCATCCAATCAGAAACCAGGGTTTCTCATTCGGTGGTGCGGATTTCGCAACCATCCGCAGTAGTGATGATTCCCCACTAAACCCAGGGACACCCCCTATTAGTAAACTGGGGTTGATAAGTATGGGGTCAACATTACTTTGAATCTAAGAGAACTGGCTGGATGGAACTGCCTGTGTTTGGGGCTCTTCCAGGTTGCCTATGGGTTCCATCTGGCAGGATTCTGAAGCAACTCCCGGCCGCCGAGGAACTGCCTCCTCTCAGTTCTTATAGTGTTGCCCCGGGCTCAGCACACTTCGATCAGCGTGAAGCCTTTGTAGATGTGTGTGTGTGTGTGTGTGTTTGTTTTTGGGTGAATCCCACAACATGTTTTTCCTCTTGGCTTCCCCTTAAAACCACAAAAAACATGACACCTTCAAAAAAAGACGCATCCATGTAGCCCACTTTTGGGGGCGTCGTGAATGGGGGTTCCGTGGGGAAGCGCAGTATAAGGCATCGGTCCTTCCCCAAGCAGCATGATGTTTGGCACCGTGTGAAACTTTGCGAACCTTCGAGATGGGACTGAGCCTTCGAGCCAGGACAGACATGATTTTTTTTGCTTGGCAAAGCTCATTCGTTTCCAGTCTTCATCTTTTGTCACAACAAAGCTTTCCACATTCGATACACATACACACCCACACGCACCATATACATACACGCACGCAAGCCAGCGTGCTGGCATTCGGAAGTGTTGGCTTTGCATGTGCACTAACCAGGCTATGGTGTTAGCGGGGAGAGGACAGACCAGGAACCCTCATGGCGCACTGTTTGCAAATGCCATGGGTGTCTTCCAACTTGGATTGCTGAGAGCCTTGTTTGGTGTTTTGGGACCCTTGAGCCATGTTACGCTAGATGAACAAATGGCAAGGGGGGTGTCTAAGTCAAGCCATCTCAGAAATACACAGGCTGGTGGTAAGAACTAGGTCCCGCCCGCGCAAGCCTTTGGGAGGCTTGTTTAGTTCCTCCGCATGGTTGTTTTGAGCCTAAATGGCAAGTGAACAATGCATACTATCTCAGTCATGCCATGGTTCAGAGAGATCTGTGAAGCGTCAATCGGGTTTGTCTCACATGGGACAACCCCCCCCCCCCCCCGCCCCGACAACAACAATCGAATATAAAGCAAGTAACCAAAAGAGGCAGAGTAATTGCCCGTTACTTTCTTTTCAACAAAGGTACCCCCGAAAAGACAACCCCAATTGGCCCTGACTGAGTATTTGGGCGGTTGGGGGGTCGGCTGCATTCCCAGGTTTGCTCCTCCATTCTTTCCAGCGCCTTGGATCAATTGCTGCGAAGCGTGTGGTGCTGACCACATGAAACAGATTATTGATCAAAGGTGAACATTTGGCATCTTGAAGTGCTCTGAACATGTACCCATTGCACCAACAGGCAGTGTAGAATATTTGGATTTGGCAGCCTGCTATTTGCTTCTTTGTTGAGGAGCACGGCAAGGCCCTATGTGGTGCTTGGACCCCGTTATTTCGAGTTAGGCACCGCTCGAACAGGAGCCCTGTTGTTTTTGGCCAAACGTGCATCTTGGTCAAGTGACTGAGCTGACGACTCCTCTGAACTGTTGCGCCGAGGATCCATACCTACGATCTCGACCTAGCGTTTTCTTTGCATTGGATGCATGATTCCATTATTGCGGCTTGGCCAGCACGTGCCGCATCGATCGCTTGACGTGGGGATGTTGCTACAGAGACGAACATTATGAATTTGTTGCAGGCACACTTAGCACGCTGTTTTGCACTGCCCACCCGTTGAATTCCTGCGAGTTTACAGAGCAGCCAACTTGTTTTTGCAAAAGTTTAAGTCCGGTCCGTTCATATCGAGCTCACGTTGGAGGGGTAAATCAAGAGCAAGTTGCACCCCCGTTTGTTACAGTCCCTTTCTTCAAAGTGGCTAGTTTCCAAATAGGGGGACTTCAAAAAATGGCGTTCCCTTCAGGTTCCTGTCAACCAAGCACAGGGACCCGTACTGTAATTGTTGGACAACCCGAGATTCATGAAGGTTCAAGGTTTAACATATTTTGCTGCAGTGGTTTGACTTTAGGGCTCGATCAAGAGCCACGTCGTCATTGCATACAAAATCATATCAGGTCATGATCATTGGAGCAGCATGCTAGTAAGTATTTAGCCCTTCATATTCGATTAATTGAACAAGTTTTTCCCACAGGTTGCCCGACCCAAGAAGCTCTTCCAATGCTCCAATAAGCTCAGCTGATACCCTGGAACCCTCGTGGAAGGGCCGCCCCGCAGCCTATCTGGGCTGAGACCCCAAAGCTTTCAGCTGTTGGGCAAAAACCTTTCCAGGCCGTGGCTTTGCGTTGCGACTCCTGTGACGCCTCAGGCTTTTGGTCCTGCTGGGATGTCTTCCAGCAGAGGCCCGCCAGGACAGGGCGCCTCGGAAGTGCCGTGGGTTCGCAACAAGCTCCTTCTAGCCCTTGGGAACCCACCCGTGGACCCATGCACTCCACATATCTGCCAGGGTTGAAAAGATGGTCATGAATGCCTTGAGGGGTAAAATTTTAGGCAACCATTGTAAGGCTTCCGATTAAGTGACCCATGCTGGTCCCACATAAACAGATTTGACCGTAATTAGTACATATGGAAGCGTTGTGTTCCAACTCGTCGTGGGGTGCCAATTTTCAGACAAGTCCATATTTGGTGGCTTGTCACAACCCGCTCGCAGTCATGGTGCTGCTGGTGGTTGAGCTTTGCTCTGGATGATCATTTGCTTACCCGGGAGGCTTGGATATGGTTCGTATCTTGGCCAAGTGCAAACCTCCGATCAGCAAGAAGTGATCTAATACGAGTTCCAGTTGACAGATGTTAGGTGGAGTACCCACTTGTTCCATGTTCTTGAGGGGAAGCAGGTCATTGTCCGAGACTCAGACTCAGCTGTTTCTTTTCATTTCGCGTCAAACGTGCGGCGTTGCCAAGCCGGATGCCAGGACTTGCCGAGGCAGCAGTTCGTGCGAAGAGAGCATTCCAAAAGAGCTGCTGGCTCTGGGCTTAGCATTGGATGGTCCTCCAGCAGCTAAGGTCCTATTTGGGTGTGTGCTGTTTTGGAGGGTCCGTTTTGGAGGCGGAAAGGAGCAACAATTATTGAAGCCTTTCAGCTATGAATGTGGATTCCGGATTAATCAACCTGATGGATCAAAGGGGGGTGTTTTCCCTAGTGACGGATTCCCTTCAAAATGGGACACATGCCCACTCTCAGTCAGTCAACCAGGGCTTTGTGACATAAACTGTCTAAACCATAGGTGTTCTTCTGAGGTTAGTTTAGTTTGGTTTAGATGGGTTTTATTTTGCTTACCAGGGAAACCCATCATATAAAAAAGAAAAGAACCTATGTCCTGAACCCCCTTTGTTCCCACACCACGTTTTGCCCCGAACGGTTTTCTCGAAAAGCTCGGGGCGCGGCGGCCCAGATCAGCAAGTCCTCGTCGCCGCGGATGGACACCCGGAGGCCGGCTGCTCCGAGCCCGAGCCGTTGCTAACGTGATCAAACCCCCAGGATGCCGACTTTGACCGATTGTGGGGGAGGGTTCCCCTACAAAAGTAGACAAACCAGAAAAAAGAAAGGGTACCAACTTATTCTAATCTCTCTGGAGCACCTAGAAAGGGTCAAGCATTGGCAGTGGGTTGGTTTTATTTAGTCTCCCTTCACCCGGGAATTGCTTCCCTGCTAGGTTGAGAAGGATGCTTCACGAATAGGGCACTCCCCATGTTCATGGAGGTTTTGCTACTTGACCCAACGAACACTTAAATGGAACAAGCACGTCGGTCCAAGCCCCATTGCCCTGTTAGGAACATTTCCTATGCTGAACACCTGCACCACACGGCCTTTCAAGGGTATGCATTATACAGCCTTTGTCCTCTTGACAGACTTGCCCTGCAGTCATGATGGCATTGTGAGGGATTTTGGTTGCCCGAAAAAGGCAGAACGGCTGCAAATATCACCAAGAGCTCTTTGGCATGATAATTACATCGTGGTCCTGAAAGGTTTACTGTTGTCCGATTTCTTTTCCTCTTGTAAGTCGCTATCTGAAACCTTCAAAGTCTTCACGAGGTTGCTTTTGCTAGCTGACCTCCACTTTGTCCAAGAGGTTTCTCTTGCTGCGGACAGAGTTGTTAGACCAAAGCTGCGGATCTCGCCACGGCGACCGCTTCAAGCAGAAATGTCCCGCAGGGATTCCGTGCAGGCACCAAGAATCGACGGCAGGTTCCCCATTTGCTCTGGGGAGGGTGAGCAGCTCGATCTCTCGCGATCCGAAGCCCGAGCAGGTGGATGTACCCGCCTTGGGCCGCGCAGGCGGGCAGTGCAGAAGGGGACCTTGGACTGGCCAAAGGGAAGCGACTTTGTCATGATGGTTCCAGATGTGCTGTGAGTCGTGGTCCCAGGTTTTGCCTTCGTTTCCAGGGCCCTGAGTTGCAAAGGAGTCGCTAGCGTGGCGGGAAAGGTTGGGTTGGGAAGCATGTCGCGTTTGTTTGGGTCAAAGGAGATGAAAAACTGGCCCGGATGCTGGAGTTGGAGAAGATTGTTTGTTGGCCCGAGCCTGCAGAGATGTAGGTTAGGCCTGAACCGGCTTGGAGGTGTGTTGTTGAATTGGTTTTCAGTGCAATACCCAATCATTGCGCACATGAGACGTCCACTTGGATGTATGCACACGATCCGAATGCCATGCATTTGCTCTTACTAGTACAGGCATAGTATGTTATGTTGAACAAAAATATAAATGTTGTGTGGTTGTTGTGTTCAAAAACTGTATCCCATCCCGAGAACTGACAAACGAAAGCTCGTGGTCCCTTTGACTTTGCTGTTTTGCTCCTATGGATGCTTTGTGTGGGGTACAACCGGAAGGTGTGGCTCTTCCTTGTTTAGGTGAAGTGATTCGATGTTTGTGAAGTTCTTTCGTGTGCGACCTTTCTCTTGAAGTCTGCCATATTTTGTTTGTCAGTACGGCAAGAATTTCTCCTCAAGACGGTTCTCCTGAAAACTGCGATGGAATCTCCTTCCAACCCCCCTTTCGGGGTTCCATGCACCTAAGAAGCTCTGCAATGATTCGACTCCCCTGTAAATACCAACCAACGTTGAGGTTTTAACCATGCCTTTCAAGAGGTGCGAAATGGATTTCGTCCATCCACGGTATATAGGAACCATTATGGTTCAGGATCCCATGACAACCATCCCTGTGAACCTTCTTTTGACCATCCCATGGGTACAGGGCTGAAAAGAATCCAGGAAACTCTGGCGGAAGTGAGCCAAATCATGCAAACCCAGAAGTTTGGACTAAGTTCCTGTAGACATTCCCCATGGTTTTCAAGTGGTGTGAACGCATCTCGTCCATCCACAGTAAAGTACCAAACGAATCACCGGGCAGCCCATTGGCCGGAGATCCGGAGCGAGCTTCTGCGCGACAGGTCCGCGGTTGCGAGAGAGCGCGCTGATCCAGGCGAAACGGGCGGATCGGGGTGCCACTAGACGGAGTTGGCGTTTGTTTGTGTCCCATTTGATTTGGTCCTTTGAAGGGTGTACATATTTGATATTCACATACTAATATACATATATGCATGCCTCACAGATTGTTTTCCTGAAGGGAAGCCGCAAGAAACCCATTCTTTGCCGAACCGAGGGTGTGCAATGCTCATGAGGAGAGGTGTGGGCTGGACAAGGATGAGGTGAGTGAAGCTTGCAGCCGAGAAACTGAAGGGCGACAGTACATATATATATATATTATACATATCGCTTATACACAT